TGCCAAGACCCTGAATAATCTTCCGTAATCTCAGCCAACGGAACAATAAATTCGCACGTGCTGAAATTCACGACGCCGGAATCGTCAAATTCTGCAACTGTTCCCTGGTGCTTCGTCAACACTTCCTTATTTGTATCATTGCCTTCAGCATCCACGCGTTTCCTGTTGATCCAAACGCAATTTTTCCTCTTGAAGTCCTTCGCAATTGTCAAATCCGATTCGCAGGCCAATCTCAGGGAAACTGAGTCATTCGTCCAATCCATGAATTGTCTCGCAATATTGACAATCACGGGTTTGCCATTATTATTCGAAGGAAACAATGTTGACAGCACTTGCTTCGGGGTGAATCTGCCGTGTTTTTCATTTATTTTGACTCGCGGAATTTTGACTTCTTCAACTGCGTCAATTGTGGTTCTCGTCACAACACCGCATTCCTGGACCGAATGACACCCTGTATGCATAATACAGTGTAACAACTCAGAATCCAACATTTAAGCATCAATAAGTAAACAATAGTTAGTCCAGTTTTTTAAAATTATTATTACAGCAGGTGGACTCTCTCTCTCTCCCTACAAATAATGTTCGTGGTTCCTTGAATTTGGTCCTGGTCCCTCGACTCTCTCTACAATAAAATTCAAGGAACCAGGAAAAAATGCGTTGTAGAGAGAATTTCGTTGCAAAGAACCCCTATTTCCCAGGGAGAGAATCCTACGGGTTCACACAAAAAAAAAAAAGTCATCGTAAAGAGAAAATCGCTGTATCGTTGCAGCCACACCTCGTGAACTAAAATTTTGAATTCCGGTTCCATCAAGACATTTGTCAAATTTAAAACTCACGAAGACTTGTCGTGAGTCACGAAGGAAAAAAGCGCGTCTAACACTTGAGTGAGAATACCGCTATACGATTTAGAATAATAATGATACAGTACTTCAGATTAATAATATTTTATGATCAATTTAGAAGATAGTTCAATAATATTAGAAGCTTACTTGACTCGACGATGTTCACCAACACTTTGAGGTCGAAGTCCAGGAAGCCACACGCAAATTCGTGCAAATATTTGTTTTTGGTTTCATTTACATCCTTGTTCAAACCGGCTTGAAACTTCAAAATCTGTCCATTGGATTTCTCTTGGAAAAATGTGTTTCCATTTTCGCCTGCAAAATGGATTTTTTCTAAGGCCTCACGACAAACTTCATCAAAGGAAACAAGAAGCAGCATGCATTTTTAGATACCGTATTTCAACATTTTACGCATTCATTTGACAATCATTAAATCAAATACAAAGCAAAAAATCGTAGCACAGACGCAAAAGTTGAATATTTTAAAAATTGTGAGGCTTAAAATGCTGAATGTGAACAAAAAGTAGGAAATCTATACACTGTAATGCAAAGTAATGTACAATGATTGTTCCATTTCTGCGCAGGAAAAATATTTCCAAGGTTGGTAAAAATGTTCATCCCCAAAAACCTCAAGTGCATTTTTAAACTCAAATTTTCTGCACAAAAAAGTATTCTTTTATTTAAAATTTTCATTTGTAGACGTACAAAAACAGCTGTATGTAAAGGACAGTTTCAGAAAACAAAAGTTATAATGGGTCAAAAGCTGCTTCAATGTCGTAAAATTGAGTAATTTTTGCACTCGAGTGTTTCAGCCGAACCCTACAAAATGTTAAGATCAACGTAAAATAATTAAACAATTTAATATTACACTGCTCTAGATATATATTCTAATCGCATATATTTGCATCAAGATTTTGAATCCAGCTTTACTTGGAGCAAAAAAAACAAAACAAAACAAAAAACACATCTTTCAATCGAAACACACACTTCATTGAAATCAGAGAACAATAATGATATGAGAACAGCAGCCAGAAAAGCAAACATATTTATCCGTAGATGAAAATGAATTCCTACTTCATTTATGCGAAAAAAAAAGAAGACTCCCTGCCAGCAAGAACCATACATGAGTTGACCCTCAAATCTATGAAAATACTTTAGTTTCTGATTTAAAAAAATAATAATTACACAAATTTAAAAATAAAGGAAACATTTAATATATTCTCACCTTTTTCTTTGTGGTTCCACTTCGGTTTTATCTCTTCCGAATCTGTGAAGCAATCCAAAGTGATGTTCTCCCCGGAATTGATGAAAATGACGGCGGAGTAAGCATTCGACGCTTTGAGCAAATCTTCCGCATCTACTGTCACGAGATTTTTGCCGTTTTTCCGGATTTTCAAAGTAACAGATGGATGACAATGAGTGTCGTTTACAGCGAAAAACTCTCCACTGCTGCACGAACATCGCACTACTCTATCCCCGACCTGCTTGTGTTGGACTTCGCAACGTGCGTTTGTTCCGCAAAAATGATTTTCACAGACGGAAAGACACAATCGTCGACCTTCACTGCAAAATGAGTCAAGCAAAGGGGAAAAAAGCCATTAATTAAATAATGATGAATTTAAAGTTTCAAACCAAGAATTACGCGAGCTCTGAATGACAACTCAACTCAGACATCAATTGAATATGAAGCTCAGACGAATGATATATTTTTTGCAAAAAGATAAAAGCTGCGCTTCTTGACGTTTTGTGGTGCATTAAAAACTATGAAGATAGAAAATTTATGAAACTGGGAATTTCGAAATGGAAGCCACACAGCGACATCTACGTACAAGGACAGGAAAATTACGAAGTCGGGCAAAAAATCGAAAAATCAGCAGCTGCGAAAATGTGTCTTATCCGGACAAATATATGATGAAGAAAACCTCACTGTAAAGTGCACACATCTTCTTCGTCATGGCAGTCGACATCGTTGTCGCAAATTTTGTAACATTTTCGGTCTGGTTGAACTGATGGACCCAGTGCAAATCCGGGTAAACATGCGCATGAAGTTCGGTTGAAAACGCGGTCAAACACGCATCTGGAATGCGGAAAATCCTCACAAGACGCCATTTCACATCGCAGACGACAGACCTTCCATGCTGAACATTGTTCCGAATAATCACAATCCGCGTCAGATTCGCACATTTTTGCTGAAACATTCGCAAGAAAAATCAATAAACTCAAAAAATGCAGTATCAATAAACAGTTTAAACTTTGAGTCAAAATGGCAAAAAATTAATAAATTATTGTCCAACCTCAGTAAGTCGAATTCGAAAAGGGACCAGCAAGAAATTTGCCTCAGATAGTTTTTGAGTTGGAGAAAGCGATAAACCAGTCTTTTTTTTAAATAAAAATTAAAATAATACAGTATATCACAGCAAGGTGAACTTTTTTTATATTTGGGACTCAAACTGCTGCTGAACAAATGAATACAGGATGCTGATCCCATCAGATTGCATTCAAGTCTCATATTCCTACATTTCATTGCTTATTCATTAAAATACGAGAGTTGTCCCAGTTGGACGCGACCTCTGATATTTCTTGAATAGATGTCATTGTAAAAAAAAAATTATGACATCGCCCGCCATACTGTTCTATACATTTCTGAGATTTTTTCGGATTTAAAGTTTTTCAAACTGGATGTATAAGTGAAAACTTTCTGGTTACAGCCGGAGTTTTCTCCCAACTCATAGGAGGTTAAAAAATTGTCAGACTATAGCTAAAAAAAAATAAAACAAGTTCTTTAACCCGCTATATTATTTCTTGGTTAAAATAACAACACAATTAAATTTTTCAGCTAGTCAGACAAATTTTTAGTATAGCCTATGATGACATGGGTGGAGAACTCTGGCATCAGTAACTGGAAAGTTTTCACTTATCACGCAGTAAATTGAATATTTGATTTAGAAATCCAAGAAGAATGTCTGAACATCATGGGCTAGGTCATGATTTTCTTTTTACCATCACATCCACTCTAAAATATCAGTGGTCGCGTCCATGGACAACCCTCGTATATGTAGACAATAAGGAGTTATACATACATACATGTTACTGTAGTAGCGTTACGATGTCATATTGCCACAGTAAAAAGTGCAGCACGCAAATTATATTTCCGACGGCGGATGTTACGATGTACTAGAACTAGAGTAACGTCTATACTTTCGAAGTAATTTCAAGCACTTACCGCGAACGTCCAAGAAAATCTTATTCGTAGACTGCTCCACGTTATACTCCTCATCCATCCACTTCGCTGTTTTGGATTTATACTTCAAGACACAGCTCCAAAACCCGGAATCGTCAAAATCAACCCCGTCGACAATCATGTCGCAGAGTTCCCCCGACATGTACAACTGCATGCCGTGTAATTGTAATGCCCGCCCGCTGTTATCGAAATGAAAATCATTCGCGGACACGGTCGAATGATTGTACAATTCGACGTAATGTTCGAGCACTCCATCCTTGCTCTGCTTTGCCCATCCACAGCCCAGCAAGTAATTCGCTTTGTGCCAATCGCTGGAGAGGTCCCTCAAGGAGAACCGGTCTTCGGGTTCGTCCGGACATCTTAGGAGAATCCGGTCGTTGTTGAAAATCCCGCGCTCGGGCTTGTCTTTGATCGCTATCGTGAACGAATGATCGTTTCTCCCCAGACAATGAGCGAGGGGAAAGAAAATAATGAAACATTGATAACTGCAGAGTTTCATCTCCGTATTCCGACTGTAGCGCGTTTGGCGATGACCGCAGTGTTGGTATAGGGAATCAGACTACGGAAACACTTATCAGCTTCAGTCGACTTCCTGACGTTTCACATCTTTTGAACGTACTGAGCAACTCACTGATGTGTTTTTGAACATGCAAGACTTCTTGAAACTTTTATCACGCTTACGGAAACTAAACATATTGCTTGAAACTCGTATATATTTCAGAGAAAATAAGCGTTGAAATGTTGATAACCCCCGTTCGTAGAGAAAAAGATTACGGTATGCTATAGAAACTGGAGCGTGAGCCGTGAGGAGATGCAAAAGCCAGCTTCGATTCTGCTCAGAGATCCTGGGAAGATCCCCGGAACGAACAGCAGATGCGCAAACGAGTTTCACGAAGGAAAAAATGTCAACACTGGAGTGATGAAGAATTATTTATTGTACATCTCCCAGGTCAAAGAAAGCAAACGGGAAAGGAGTGCTTCCCGGAAACAAAGCTCACAGGAAGGAATAAAGAAACAAATACTGACGGTAAACCCGGAGCAGAGTCAGGCCCACCAACGAACACAAATTACCACCGAGGAAAAACCGGCAAGATGCGGGCCAAACCGCGAGCGATCGATCGATCAGAAGAAACAATATCTCCTTCAAATTCCAATCCACAAAATAAAAGAATTGCACACAGTTTCCAAAAAAAACCTATTGTCTTTCTATTTTAAACAGGCGAACTCGCTGAATTTATTAGTATTACCGCGGATACCCAAAATTTCCGTAGGCTGCGAAATCTAATGTCACCTTGTTGCCATTTTCCGTCGTTCAATAATGCTCTCACTAACATGGAGGAAGGGTCAACAAATCGCGAACCTGGGGTTCTTTTCTATTCAAGAAAATGTCAGGCCAGCTTGTCGATACGTGTTGTAGATCTTCTCGATCGAGTTGACGTACGCTGCTGTTCGCAAATCCAATCCCAGATTGTACTTCATTGCCGTGGCCATAATGGCTCTCGCTGATCTCTCCATTGTGTAATCTAATCCTGAGTGTACGATGTCCTTTTCTGAAGCACCCTGTCATACCAAGAATATCAATGTTTCAATACAATCTTTACTTATGAAACGCAACAGAATGATCAACTGTATGAAAGATTTAAAAAAACTATCAAACGGATTTGTTCGAAAAAAAGCATTGATTTTAAGTTAAGAAATCCCCTGAATGGCTCGAGCTTTTGAGTTTAATAAAATGATGTAAAATTCAGGTACATTTCAAATCATAGCCACATTTTTTATTTAGTACAGGAGGATTTTTCTGTAACAGCGGTAATGCTGTGTCAATTGTCTGACAAATTTACCGGGGATTACAGAATAGATCTTTGTTTCGTTGAACTTTCACAAGATCAGCCAAAAAATTGCGAGTCAGGGAAACACGCATTTCTCTTAGAAGAAAAAAGAAAAATTACATGATATTGTATATTCTGGGCCTTGAAAATTTTCTTGAATGAGTTGACAGCATGCTAACGTTAGGGACAATGGATCATTTTCCCACTTATTTTTCACCTCCTTTCAAAACGCATCAAGTTGCATTTTTATTGCTTCCATCGTCCCTGTGTCAATAAGAAAACCGACAGGCCTCCAGAAAATTTGACCAACAGAGGTTTGAGTAAGAAAGCCTTGAATTTAGAGAGGTTTTTAATGTATTGTTTTCAAGGGAATCCAGACAGGAGCTAGGAGAACAATTCGACATTGATTTGTAACGCTATCCAGGTACAACTGTAGTATAAATACGTCACATAGTAATTCAATTGAAAGAAGGTATAAACCAAATACCGCGCAATGAGGTATATTTTCAACAACCATCCACAAAAAATTTGTTGGAAAATTCTGATCTGTAATTTAAAGCTTTCATAGATCTTGATGAAGTGACACTGCCGTTCAACCTTTCGCCTTGGCTGTTTGAAAATCATATTATCCAACGTTTTCTAGAATCAATTACTGTAATTTCAAAATCAAATCGAACATCAATAATTCTGATTTTCCCAGGAAAAAAAATTGAAATTAAATACAGTACAGGTACTTATAATTCAATGAAGATGAATTAAAAATAAATCAGGTTTCACGTCTACGCAAGATTTCCATCTTACCGCGATACGCTTGCTGAAGGCCTCAGAAGGAGTAACAGGGATTCGGCCACCAACTCTACCAAACCTTCGCTCAAGTGATTCTTGAACAGATTCTGAAAAATAAATCATCATGCAAACATTCATCATCGTTCTACTTGCAAGTAGACTTCACAATTTCCTTACCAAGAAGATGATAATTGGACTCTCTTTCGTACTTGAATGTCAGTCTACCATACGAGACATGGTTCAAATTCTTGAGCCACTCGAAATAGGACACGGTCACACCACCAGCATTCACGTACATGTCAGGGATGACGAGGATGCTTTTCTCGAGCAAGATTTTGTCGGCTGCTGGAGTCGTTGGTCCATTAGCAGCTTCGGCAATAATCTGCGATAGATTCAGAAGAGAACATTAATTGACAGCACGCGATCTATCAAAAAATCATGCCACTATTTTAGCCACATCTACAAACTTTTAGCATACTTCAACCTTTCAACGGCAAAATTTACTGATGTACACTTGAAAATTCAAGTTAATGAATTAACTTGAACAGAGTTCCCTCTGTTCAAACGAAAAAGACATTCCATGACCTATTCAACAGCTTTTCATCATATTTTTATCTTTGAATTTCCAGTGCGTTTCACCCGAAACTGTACTCGTTTCACGCTGAAATTCATTTACGTGAACAATAAAAAATGAACATTCAGAGAGGCATAAAAAGGCCGATACGATCTCATCAGAGTCTGAGCAGAACTTAGTCAAAACTATGATTTCATGGGAAAACCAGGAGTGGATGATAATTTTCCAAATTTCTCGTGGAGTTCCAAAAATGCTCGCAATATTTCAACAAATGAAGTCAGTTACAGGAATATTGATAAAATTCCAATTTATTCCGACTACTACAGCAAACAGCAACATGCAAATGTAGGTTCCAGAGATACTGTGATGTCATTTTTGTACCTCAAAGAAGTGGCACTTCTCTTGGTAGATAACACAAAACGTGGAAACGTAGCAATAATGAAAGATAACCCAACCTTGCATTGGAACTTGGAAGCATTGTCCTTGGTGATAACCTGCTCTATCGCCGCAGGTATGAAAATGTCGCATTTCTCGTATATAAGATCTTGACCACCTTCCCATGCCTGGGCAGCGGGAAAGCCGACGATACTCTTATTCTCGATGTGGTAATTCTCAAGTTCTTTCGGGTCGATACCATGAGGATTGTAAATAGCTCCGTCGTGCTCCACCACTCCGATGCACGTGGCACCAGCCCGATGCAAATACCTCATGGTGTGCAGACCGACGTTTCCAAATCCTTGGAGAATGAAGGTCTTCTCTCCCCATCCGGGAGTCGTACCAATCATGCCCATGTATGATGCTTCCATGATGAAGTTTTCAAGCCCGTGGAACACACCTCGTCCGGTTGCTGAAATTCTCCCGTGAATCCCGCCTTGGTTAATGGGCTTTCCGGTGACGCAAGCATGGGCGTTGATGTCCAAGTGTCCAACGGTATTTGCGTATGTATCAGCGATCCAGGACATTTCTCGCTCACCTGTACCCATGTCCGGGGCGGGAACATCGATGCCGGGTCCAATGAAACCTTTCTTTGCGAGTTCCAGCGTGAATCGTCTGGTTATCCGCTCGAGTTCCTCTTCGGAGTAGTTCTTCGGGTTGATTCGAATACCGGCTTTCGCGCCACCAAAGGGGACATCCACGACGGCGCATTTGAAAGTCATGAGGGCAGACAAAGCCTTGACTTCGTCGGCACACACGTCCATCGAATACCTAATACCTGCATAAAAATGCGGTCATCTGCATTAGAAGAGGAAGAGTAACGATCACAGATCACAAACTTTTGCTTAAAATTTTAAGAAGAATTATCGTTAAATGTAATTTCATAAAACAGTAGAATTCTTTTGATTTAACGCACCCTGAGATTAGCAGCTGGATCTCAGCGGACACTAACAAAATCAATAAAAGTTCCAAACATTTTGGATTTGAATAGTAAGGATTTGTTCAATTGAACTTCCAACGATTACCGTACATACGATTTTTTCGGTCTAGTGCAACTACGGTATTCCCTTAACCGATGAATCTGAAAGTCCATAATATGCATAAATCAAATTTTGTAATTCAGTGGGAGGTTGAATGTGGGACACACCCAATTTTTTGGAGAAAATTCCATCGCATATTCAGTACAGTCTTACATAATACGTACCTCCTTTACAGGGTGTTCGATGCTGGCTATGCTGAGCTCTGAATCCTTGGATCATTTCGTATTTGCCATCGTCTCGCTTGATCGGGAAATTAATTTCTATGATGTGATGACACGGTCTCATAATATTCAGGAGTCCCGAAACTTTCTCAAATTTGTCTTTCGGTTTTTCTTGCCGGGCATTTTGTCGACAAGTTTTTCCTCTACGGTTTGCCATCCCTTATGGAAAAAATATTCCACCATCTCAAAGAAGGATGGCTTGGATTGCTCGGGCATATCCCTAAGGTGCTCTGGAATTTCATGCTTGGAATAAAAGCGCTGATTCGAAATGGAAGTCAGGGCCGGAAGTAGCTTCAGCTCTGATCTGGCCGTCACTACCTTCGAAAGGCGGAGACCGCGCATCACAAATTGACTCATACCTAAAAATCTACACCAAAACCTGGGCAGAAACAGGATCATTAGAATCTACGAAACACACGAAACTGCGTACACTAGCGCTACGAGTCCATATTCTCGTCATGTGAGCAACTCAAATCGTCACACTAAAAAGCGAGAAGCACCCGAATCCGCTTCAACACAATTTCACACTAGCAATATGGTAACAAGTACAACTATGGGGCATGGTGCAAGATCTCATTCCGCGTAAATCCACCAAAATTTATTGAAACATCAATCGTGGCATTCTCAGCATAACGCGGCTCCGGCCACTCTAGTCCTTCAAAAGATAATTTCATGTACACTGCGATTCTGACAATATCTTTTATAGCCCATCGCAAGGGAACTAATTGTGAGCCACGGGCTTGAAAACTTCATCATGGAAGCATCATACATGGGCATGATTGGTACGACTCCCGGATGGGGAGAGAAGACCTTCATTCTCCAAGGATTTGGAAACGTCGGTCTGCACACCATGAGGTATTTGCATCGGGCTGGTGCCACGTGCATCGGAGTGGTGGAGCACGACGGAGCTATTTACAATCCTCATGGTATCGACCCGAAAGAACTTGAGAATTACCACATCGAGAATAAGAGTATCGTCGGCTTTCCCGCTGCCCAGGCATGGGAAGGTGGTNGTTTTCAAAAAGCAAAAAATAACCTTAAACGTGGTGCGCATCTATTTCATTTGTATTTCACTTCTTCCCAACAATCTCCATGCGCACCACGTTTAAGGTTATTTTTTGCTTTTTGAAAACGTGGTTTTTTAGATTAATTTTTTAATCTACTAAATTTTTTTGTGCTTTTTAGTCTTATTTTTTGGAGAAAATTCCATCTCATATTCAGTACGGTCTTACATAATACGTACCTCCTTTACAGGGTGTTGGATGCTGGCTATGCTGAGCTCTGAATCCTTGGATCATTTTGTATTTGCCATTGTCTCGCTTGATCGGGAAATTAATCTCTATGATGTGATGACACGGTCTCATAATATTCAGGAGTCCCGAAACTTTCTCAAATTTGTCTTTCAGTTTTTCTTGCCGGGCATTTTGTCGACAAGTTTTTCCTCTACGGTTTGCCATCCCTTATGGAAAAAATATTCCACCATCTCAAAGAAGGATGGCTTGGATTGCTTGGGCATATCCCTAAGGTGCTCTGGAATTTCATGCTTGGAATAAAAGCACTGATTCAAAATGGAAGTCAGGGCCGGAATTAGCTTCAGCTCTGGTCTGGCCATCACTACCTTCAAAAGGCGGAGACCGCGCATCACAAATTGACTCATACCTAAAAATCTACACCAAAACCTGGGCAGAACCGGACCATTAGAATCTACAAAACACGCAAAACTGCGTACACTAGCGCTACAAGTCCATAATCTCGTCATGTGAGCAATTCAAATCGTCACACTAAAAATTTTCACAGATACAACCATGAACCCTCATCCAAGTATTAACGGTGTTTATCAACTTGACCGTATCACAGATGACTTCCAGACCTATAAATTAATTTCTGCAGACGATTCTGAATCAGAAATTTGGATTTGGGGTGGCAGCCAAAAGTAGTAAACACTAACTTTCACGTATGCCTGAGAGGAATTTCGCCACATCCAGAAAATGGCCAAAATCACCCGACTACAGTAAGGGTGCCCCCTTACCAAAACGAGCGCCATCTAGGCGACCATTCTGGCGAAAGGCCAAACGTCCAAAGATCACACCCAACCCCTCTCCTCTTATTGGTCATTCAGGTGAGCCGCTGGCAGGAGGTTAGCGGAGCAGGAGAGGAACCTCACTTTGTCTTGAGCTTTTAACCTGACAACATCTATAAGTCTGTGAAGCTTTCCTGAGTCTTTTATTGTTGTGACAAGAAATACATCAAGTGTTCGTGGAGAAGAGGTCAACTGTTATTCTCATCCTTACTGGGGGCTTGAGCCAACCCATAGCGATCGACTTCACGGAGACACTTCTTCTTCTATGGTGCGTACTACGGAAAACTCTAAAGCAACACCATACGCCCGCGCCCAAGAAATGGCTGGACAGTCCGAACAGAACGAGTCCCCGCCCGCTGAATGACGCCCGGAGGTTCCCGCCGACAGGCGCACCGAAACTCCTTCTGGGGACTCAGCATTGTCTTCTGGCTCCAGTGTTTGGGAAACCCTTCCACTTGCAACGCTGCACTTCATCGCCGAAACGTATCGCCTGGGTCATCCAAATGTCGTGTCTGCTTCCAATTATGCAGCCCAATTCGACAGGCTTCAGGTACCGTTGTCCGCTCTTTTCAATTTTCCGAGACAACCGGAGCCTCTGCTCCCAGCGACGCAGCTTCTTCCTATGGATTCCTCGGGTCCGGTGCCCCACCGCTTGCCAGCTCTACCACCACGGTGGTTCTCAGAGCCACAGATCCCCGATCTTCCGAAGCAGCAAGCCGAAGAAGAATTCAAGGACTACGCCATGCGGCTACGCAATCGTCTGGAAATTGACAACATCAACGATGGGCATCGTGTCAGGTGCTTGATGGACAACACCTTACCCCAGATCCAGAACACGGCGCATCGACTCTACAAACGCGGCATCACCGACTTCGAACCGTTGGTTGCTGCTATCTCCAGTTGTCATCCGACTCCTTTCCTTGACAGGCTCAACTCGTTCCGACGCATGAAACCCTACGACAGTGAGAGCTACATCAGCTTTGCCAAACGACTCCGGGATCAGCTGGAAACCTTTCTTCACTTCTCCGCTGACGTCTTGGAAGCATGCGAACCTCTACTACAGCAAATGCTGATGGAGCAGCTGCTACGTGGATCCGAAGGAGGCCTCCGAGACGAGCTACAACGAAAATGGCAAAAAAATCGTGCGCTGATGTGGGACGAAATGGTGGACATTGCCGAAGCATATCGTCTCAACCATTGAGGTAAAAAAGACCAGTTGACCGGGAACAAGACCAGTTTCTGCAACAGGCTTAACCTGCCCCTGCGACAATGGTGTGAGTACCATAAGCGACAAATGCGCCACGGCTCTCATGAGTGCCGACTTCGACCTAATCAATCCACGTCCGCCAGCCCAACAAAGGAAACAGGTTCTGCTAAACCTGCCTCCATTTTGAATTCGCAGACTATTTCGCAAACGAATCGCGCAAACGAGAATTCCTCTGTTACCTGTTTTCATTGTCATAAGCAAGGTCACAGTTTCATGAATGTCCGCAGGTGCAGGGAAACTCGAAGTCAGCACACTTCAACAATCCTCTCCACCGCACCTCCGCCAGTGGTTCTCACCATCTCCATCAACGACCAGACTCTTCATGCACTCATTGACACAGGTGCCTCCCACTCTTTTATTTCCAGCGCCCTAGTTAATACCCTGAATTTACCCCAAGCTCCATTGCACTCCCTGATTAGCACTGCCCTGGGTCCTGATCCCATGCCGGTCCATAGCTCTGTTCAGGTGTCGTTTCTGTTTCACGACATTTCCTACCCTGGGATGTTTCTTGTTTTACCGAAATTACGCAAGTATGATTTTATTTTTGGACGAACGACCTTATTGCAATTACCGGTCGCAATTACGATCGACGGGCAGAGGTTGTTTACAGGTTTTCGTGAGATCACGTGTGCACCATCCAAGCCTGCTCTCCCGGTCGGGGAGGGTATTGTGTTTGTCAACGGAACTCCCGACGAACGCAGGCAGGTCACCAAACTTCTCTGCGCCCATGCGCCTCTCATCCGACAGTGGTCAGGCAGACGAGGCCTATTCATTGATCATGTCGTCCGGATACCCACCATGGAAGGCACTCCACCTGCCACTAGGCAGTATCGTCACTTGGTGGAGCGCAATGCTCCCTTCGCCGAAATCATTGACCGGTATGTGGAGGCAGGCATCTTAGAACCTGCCGCCTCCCCATACAATGCCCCAGCTTTTCTCATCGACAAGAAGGACGCAAAACCTGACGCTCCTGTGGACAAGAGATTCCGGCTTGTTGAGAACTATAAGGAGCTCAATAAGCTCATTCCCGACGACCAATATCCAATGCCCGTAGTCCAGGAACTCATCGAAGCACTCGGACGAAACAACAAGTATTTTTGCGGCTTAGATCTTCACGATGCGTACCATCATCTTCCCATTGCGCAGGAAGATAGGCCAAAAACCGCATTTATGACTCCGCGCGGTCGAATGCAATACAAAGTTTTACCCTTTGGTTTGAAAAATGGTCCACCTATGTTCCAACGCGTGATCAATACGATTTTACGCCCACATTTGTTTAAAAAGTGTCTTGCTTACGTGGACGATGTTCTAGTTTTCGGCAAAACGTTTGAGATACTCTGTCAAAATTTATCAGATGTTCTTACAGCGCTACAGGATGCCGGTGCAGCAGTCGACATCAAAAAATCAAGTTTTCTTGCTCGCCAAATGCTTTTCTTGGGTCACATCATCGACCAAACGGGAAGTCGACCAGCAGAGCGCAACATAGATGCAGTGAAGGCGTATCCGCAACCATCCACCACGCGACAAATGCAGCGCTTTTTGGGGATGGCTACATATCTCCGCGCGCATTTGCCGACAAATTTTGCCAACTCGGAGAAAGCTCTTCGCTTGATCATCCCTAAAAAACCCAAGACGCGTCTGCACTGGACTGCAGAAGCCCTATTGGCCTTTGAGCATCTAAAAGACTGTCTGGCAGAAACCTCCAAACTCGAACGGATCGACCCTCGTCTCCCTCTCTCTGTACACTGCGACGCCTCAGCCATCAGGCTGGGAGCCGTTCTCGTGCAAACAGATGAACAGGATCATCACCGGATTATCGAATACGCGAGCAGAGTGCTGACTGATACAGAAACCCGGTACACCAACACAGAGCAAGAACTTCTTGCTGTGGTATGGAGTGTAACTAAGAAGTTTAAACATCATCTTCTGCACAGGCGCTTTACAGTTAACACCGATCATAAAGCTCTACTAGGGGATCTTCAAACAGAACGTGCAGTTAGCCTCTACACCAAACTCGCAGGTTACAACTTCAAAATTGTTCATCGCCCTGGACGTTTTCTTCAAGGACCAGACGCTCTTAGCCGCATATCCCTAAACGTCGCTGATGCCCGGGTCACGCCCTCCAAAGACCAGCGCGAGCAGATAATTGACACCTATCATCTGGAACTGGCCCACGCCGGTTGGAAAAAGGTATATCTAACACTTCGCAATCGATTTCAGTGGCCCGGCATGCGCCAACAAATCTGGCAGAGGGTTCTGCATTGCACCACCTGTTTTCGCTTTAATGATCCGACCCAGACAGTTGGAACCGAGCTCTCCCCTATAGAGTCGACTCGACCCTGCGAATGCCTTGTTGTTGATTTCTACGGACCTCTACCAACTTCGCCCAAAGGATTCAAATACGTCATCGTCGCCGTGGACCACTACACCAAATACATGTGTGTCAAACCAATTCCGGCCGCAAACACCAAAACTGTCATCCCCTTCCTGGCCGAGCTTTGCCGCCAGCTTGGAGAATTCGAATTCATTCACACCAATGTGGATTCCGTCTTCCGAGGTAATGCTTTCAAACATTTTCTATGTGGAGCCCATATTAAACAGCACATAGCCCAAGCCACGCATCCGGAAGGGAATGGATGTGGCAAGCGGGCCATCCGTACATTGGGCCAGATTAAAAAAAAAGCAGTACTAGGGGATGAGACCACTTGGGCGCAACACCTCAGCAAATCCGTCAAAGCGTACAACTCAACTCCACACTCAACAATGGGCATTACCCCAACTGAGGCAATGTTTGGAGTAGCAACTGTACTAGACGCTGATACCACCTTTTCCGTCCAACGGCAGAACCTGCAACAAAGACTTGACAAAATGCCACAACACATCGTCACTCAGCAACAGAAATTTATCGATCAGGCGAACAAAAAAAAACCTGAGTCGTTTAAACCTGGCGATGTAATAGCAATTTTTCCTCGTCTGCCTTCTGTAGATCAACACGCCGCTCATCGTCGCTTTCGAACGAAACGCTTCGGACCTTTTATAGTGCTATCGGACAAAGGACAAGGCAAATACTGGGTTGGAGCAGGACCAGAGATAAGACGGGTCAATGCCTGGGAAATGGTCCCATTCCATGGGCTTCCCCAAGCGCCAATACCAGGATACAAAAAACATCTCGGCCTTATCCATCTCCAATCAGGTGCTTCAAGTGTCATCCACCCCGCCCAAGAACATGTTTATGTGCGCCTGTCGAGTCAATGTCCGTCGGTCAGTGAACGTGCTGTGCTTCTAGATCATGTGTCCGCGCGTGACACACCAACCGCAAATTCGGCGAAGGGCAAAACTCCCTCTGGGGATCATTTGGGGTCATGTCGTGAAACTGGAAAAAACCTTCCTTTTTTCCCAGGGGGGGGGGGGGAGAGTAAGGGTGCCCCCTTACCAAAACGAGCGCCATCTAGGCGACCATTCTGGCGAAAGGCCAAACGTCCAAAGATCACACCCAACCCCTCTCCTCTTATCGGTCAATCAGGTGAGCCGCTGGCAGGAGGTTAGCGGAGCAGGAGAGGAACCTCACTTTGTCTTGAGCTTTTAACCTGACAACATCTATAAGTCTGTGACGCTTTCCTGAGTCTTTTATTGTTGTGACAAGAAATACATCAAGTGTTCGTGGAGAAGAGGTCAACTGTTATTCTCATCCTTATTCTATGGTACAGTGTATCCCTTGAATGCAGCACAGCAAACATGCCACCAAGCTCCAAACAAAGGAGACGAAAGGCGACACCTGGAGAAGGCGCGCCAATTTGCACTTGGCGCGCCTTTGCTGTGTTGTGGTCATTAACTCTAATTACTCTAATTAAACTGCTCATAGTGTGCCAAAAAGCACAAAAGATTGCATTGTCATCAGTTTCTAGGCTATCCTGAAAGTTTCAGCTTGATAGCTAGTCAGGAAGTGAGTGAAATTTGAGTTTCAAAATTTGATCCAGACAAACAGACAAGAAAGTGAGTTCATAAAAACGTGGTAATAATAAAATACTGTAAGTGGCGTATTTGTCACTCACCTCTTTAACAACATCTATGAAACGAACGCTAGAATATTTTTGCGTCAATCATCCAGCAACACTGTTGCTCAGAAGAATGGTGAAATATTCTCTATCCTTGAACACCATCATGATTGTACTGTACCTTTCTGAAGATGGAAGTGTGTGAAAACAAGGTACTGTATGTACAGTACATCTGTTTACTTTACTGGAAGGGGATTTTTGTTCATCCATGTTCGAAAGAACATGAGACATTCATCCCTGAACAGCTCAGAATGACTGACACAAATGTAGCAGGTTCTGAAATGGTCATCTCGTATGCAGAGGATGATGACTCAATGGGGAATCTCCCCAATAATTATGGCCATCCGCAGCAACAGGGGAGTACTAGAATAAATCCCTAGTAGATTTATCTCTGGTACTCCACAATATTGCTGGATTCCATTTGATAGGATGAGTAGATAACCCTATGTGGGAAAAAAATCATTGCAGGGAGGGAATCTTTGTAGATAAGATCATTTTAGAGAGTCCACCCATTCAGCATTTGCAAATGATGTGTCCATGAGACCATAGTATACATGACTGTTCTGCATAGTGGCATAAGTTACACTAGCCATATTGGTTCTACAGTACTCCTAACTTGATCATTTGATTGAATAAACAACCTTCAAGATCAGAAGATACCAACAATGTCAGGCTATCATACCCCCCAGCAACAATTCTACAACCCAGCCTGTCCTTGGAAATAGAATGGGTGCCACCTTGGCTTTACCAACTTCCAAAACAAAACTCTGCAACCATTCCTACAGAAAAGTTCCAGTTTTCATACAAAAAAAGGACACACACATTAGGCTTTTCACGAACTCCCTCGCTTTTAATCTATGAATCCGTTAAAAAACACACTCCAAAAGGAGAGCCGCGCAGTCAATCATTGCTAGCCGTACCAATCACGGGGCGACATCGCGGCAACAGGAAGAACATCAACAGAATCAACAAGACCTTATTTCCTTTGGCCTGAGCCACTCGGTACACGATGACCGACAAGTTGCAAGTTCGTCAAAATTTCTGCCTTGAACAGGGCAATCGCTCATGTTCTAGTCATTTAGTACATACGTACGAAAAAAGTAGGATCTTGCGTCTCAGAAATATATCCTGAAAATGACAATGGTTTCGCCGGGCACACGTTAACATCAATATACTGTATTACGCTTGATCACATCTGCAGGATCAATCTCGAATTCCCATCAGCATTTTCGGTGCATTTCGGAATTTTTTGAGAATCAACAATGGCGGCGTGTGTCTGTATGGGGTGAAATCGAAAATACAGTAGTTATACACAAGAGAAATGCAATATCGGCACATTCGGCAGAACTATTTCTAGACCAGAAAGAAAAAGTCCTCCAGATGCTAATGTAAAATAGCTCCTAAACGGACAGGAGGAAGACTCAATTATCTCAGCTCTAGAACTTCAAATGAATGGGTACAAATTCGTCATGACTGCAAGTGAAAACTAAGCATAACCAAAGAATTCTTCAATATAAGAAAACAATCGCGAGAATTTATAACACGAATCTAAAATTTGTCAAGGCCAAAGCTCAAATTTTCTAGATACTAAACACAAATAAACTGATTTCCAGCATCCCAACCAAAATCCCGTTACGCAGAAGTAAAGACGAATCACAACTTGCCAGACAGCCATTGCACCCCTTAGTCTCTTGAGCCACCATCAATACAAATCCGCAACAGAACACAAAATAGTCTACGGCTTCCGCGAAAAAATTGATTTTAGGGTCACGCTCACAACTTTTCCACGAGGATATCGTCGGTCGTATCCCATTGGACGGATTAAAATGAGAACAACCCTGTATTTTCGAAAAGGGACACCTGGCTACCTGAATTGAAAATAGCTTTGCTCGACATCGTGTTAGTGCCCACTTTCTCCACAACACGAGCTTACCGAGGTTTTTTCCTTAGATCATTAAGACATTAGACCAGCTAAGCCTCTGAGGAGTTTTCCAACGGATAAATCATCGCCACGCGAAATAATGCGACGAACAGCAGCTGAAGAGAGGAAAACCCAACTCACGATAGCTTCTGAGGCAAAATAAGAAAATCGTTTCTTACCAAGAATACCAAAAATACGCGATCATCAGGTGCTTGAATCTGCTCAGAAACCCTCGACACCAAGCTTATTATTATTTTCTTCGTGAGCCGGCAGCATATTTAAAATCCACACGCAGTATTAATTAAAAATCATTTCAATCGTAAAAAACCTGGGGGAGAAAGCTAAAAAAAAAAGCCACATTGATTACTCGCGTTTTAGTTTTTTAAAAGGCTGGTCGCTTCAGTTCAGCCGCTTTGGAACAATAAACAAACAGTACGAAAGAAAGACGCAGGTCGGCGGGAGTAGCGCAATGCCCTGGTGGAGTGCCACCCCCAATTCGACGCACTGTCACAGCCCCATCTACACCTTCACCCTAGTCAAGGTAGGTCACCAAGAGATGAAGGAGATCCCTGAATGTGCGACCGAGGTTTCCGGACAGAGTCTGTTTTTTCATCACAGACGAACGGATTGACACGAGGCTCTGATAACACTCCAAACATTTTTTGTGCCTAAAAAGAACAACAAAAAGACAACATTAGAAAACGTTCATGCCATGCGCTGCAAAACACGGTTTTTTCGCTTCAACATCCGATTCCTATTTTTCGGCGAATTGGCAACCTACATTCTGAACACTTCTCTCGAGAACTGATACCACTACTGTATGAGTAAGAAAAATTAGCGAAAAAAAAAATAGGCAATTAACCTGACAAGATATTTGAGCACCAAGTCAAATTGGCCAAAATGTAATGTTCACGAAAAATCGGCAACAAAAACATTGCTTACGAATACTTCGTTGTAAAATCACAGGAAGCGTCAAAATTTTGGACGCATATAGAAATCTAGAAACCTCAGATTTAAAAACCAAAATTATTTCCATAAATTTTCCCAAGGTGAAGTTTTCTTTCGGGGATCAAGGAAAGGTTAAGTTTCTTGCTCCCGTCACATTTTCGAATGCTTCGTTTCGTAAAAATTTGGATGCCTTAGAGAAAAGAACACGGAATTCGAAAACTAAACAATAGACACCTTTCTTCTCTTGAGATGTCGACCCCCACGGTTTGATACGGAGTTCCAACGTTGGTTTTGATGACACTGGAGAAGTTCTTCACGATCAACTTGATGGAATCGCAAGCCACCAACATATAACTGAACAACAAGCGCGAATGTGAGTTAACACGTTAAAGAGTTAATAAATCTCAAGGGCGATCTTACTTTTCGTACTTGGTATCCAACAACTCGAGCAGAACAGGAAGAGCCACCACACATAAATCCAACGTCCAAGAAGAACTGAGCAAAGATCGAGTATTCAGCATAAAAATCAACGAAATCACTTAGTTTCGCTTCATGCTTACGCTTTTAGATTCAAAGAGCCGAAAAAATCCACCATCGTCGGCATGTCATCCAGTGATGACGCCACCTGCATCGCACCCTGTTAGAATCAGTGACAAAAACACGATCTCATCTCATATCTATCTCAGAATTGACTCAATGCAGAATTCGTGAAACAACTTGTGTTTGAATTAATGCAACAAAAATATTACAAATCATCAATCAACAAACCTTGACATCTTTGGAGTTCCAGGTTGAATTTACAAGCATCAAATTCTTCCGACGATTCTGAAGGATTCCAAGAACAGGGTTATGTCCTTTAACCAAATGTGAAATGACTTCAGCTTCGGAGAGATCAGCAGCTGCCAAAATGCTTGCTCCAGGAGCAAGATTCAGATTCATACTGGACAATTTTTTCTGCAATTAAGAATTGACACTTTAGAACCGCATGGAATGTCGTAAAAGCGATAAGAAGCATTGATACTTTTGATGGAGAGGAAATTCTAAATTCAACGCCCCCATCTATCTTCCAGAATGGCAGGTCGCTGTCGCCTAACCTAAATCATTCAGATAAACATGATTTAGGTGACATCCGCCTCATTTTCAGCAGGTGTTGCCTAAAGGTGTTTGGCTGAGTGATTCAGAGAATTTCAATTTCGCGCGACACCTACCGAAATTCTGGTGGGTGTCACTCAAAATTATGTTCGGTTTGCGACACCTACCCGACGCCTAAATATGAAAGTTTGTCCTTTCAACTTCAACCCCCTGAATGTGGATAGGTGTCGCATACATTAAACTTCGTCTGAGTGATTCAGGGAGCTTCAGGCGACACCAACCGACGATGAGGGCATTAAAGCAAAAAAAAAAAACTTTCATCTATTCATCAGAAAAAAGAATTGTGTTCCGAGGTATCCCGGATTACGATTTTCAAGAGGAAGTAAGCCAAAATCAATGATACAGCTCATCAAGCGACGGGTGAAACTTGAACCACGGCACAATTAACTTCAGATCACATACTGGAAGAAAGTCTTCAATGTCGAGATTATAGGCGTGATCTGCATTGATGGCAACACGCTTGTCTGGTTGGGAGACGGCTTCCACAGGATACACAGGTTTCGTGGCAACCGGATCTGCCGTGCTTGATCTCTTGAAGCGCCCGAGGCACGTCAGACCTGGCTGGCCGACAGACGCCCACATGAGACCACCAGTGAGCTGCGCAATACTGGATTCCGACGGCGAATGACGCATTCCGAGGGCATCGTTGGTCAGTGATGACGGAACGGAAGCGTTTGTCCACTTGCTGCTGGATTTCTCCGGCGCTTTTTCGTTCCCACTACAAAATTAAGAGGTCGCAAGACAAACGCCTACTATACATCAAAGTCGCGGGGGCGTGAACAATATATGCTCAAATGGACCAGTTCTGCACCGGATCCAACTTAATTAGCCATCAGAGAACGTCATCTTAATTCAACTACATTCTGGAGGAACTGCCGATCGATTCCCGTTACCATACTTACTCATGTACCACGCGCCCTCGAGTAAGACGCGCACCTCGGTTTTTCCTAGCTCGATTTCAAGGAAAAATTCCATCCCGCATAAGACGCGCACCTTAGTTTTCGGTTTAGAAAATCCACACGGTATTTAAAAACTACTCCAGGTAAAAAAAAAAAAAAAAAAAAAAACACTAGAAAGTTGACCAATGCTATTTTTTTTCTATGCGAATCGTCATAAAAAAATAATTGAAAAATTTTTGAATGGGGAAAAAATTCCGAGGTTGAAAAAATTTCAACAGAAAATGTGTCCCCAACTAGAACGCGCATATAAAATTTTGTCCGTTTTTTCGGGAAAAAAAAGCTGCGAGTGGTACTCGAGTAAACACGGTATTCCTTGGATGATCCCTCAACGACTGATGAGAATGACTCGAGAAAATGAAAAATGATACAAATAAAAGATAGGAGTTGTCGTAAAAGAAATAAATTCAGCTCATTTTACTGCAGACCAGGATATCTGATATACCAGGAGGCGGTGTGTGATTTACAATCCTCAGGCGAAAAAATCATCGTCAACCCGAAGAAAAATAAACACAGCTAACTCGACCCAGCTTAACGCAAACCCACTTCAGCATATCTGCGTAAACTAAGTTAGACCCAAAAAAGTCACATTTCAGTTGAGAATGCAAGAAATAATTAAACTACTGTATGGAGTTTGGAAATTCGGACGTTACAGTAAGAGAAAAAAAATTGAAATGCCATGAAAATATTGTTTCACTCACGGATTCGCATCTACATTAGAATAAGACGGATCATGGATGGCAGAAGATCGATCATTCTCGGACGGCGGCGAACGACGCCTACGGAATTCCAACCGGGATTCGGATCTTGAACGAATACTATGTGACGAGGCTTGACTTGGGCGTGGATTGGCAGGAGCTGGCAAAGTTGGCGATGTCCCTGAGATACCATTCCTGCCCCTGGCAGACTCACGGCTCACCCTTGGTGAACTAACTGGTTTCGCTGGAAAGAGAAAAACATGCTTTTAGCTTTAAAATTCCTGCGGAGTTGTTCAAATGTGAGATGGGAGTTTTAGAGAGTGCTGCACACCGCAGTGCGACAGAATGGAATCAATTTTACATTTTCACTGCAACAGTACTGTGCATTAACCCGTACAGTGAAAATGTCGAACTCGTGTCTCTGCCGAATGTTTTCTATCAGGGCAGAACTTGACTCGAAAAACCTAGTTAAAATGAATAAGGCTTGGAGACAAAAATCATCTTCAAAACATGGTTTCATACTGATCACGACGCTCACAATAATTTTAAAATACCATTGCTTCCAGTTACTTTAGGTAACAACAGCATGCTCTGCACTACACTCAGCTCACTCGCAAGTTACACGAAGTCCAGCTCTCCTCGAAACGGGGCTTCAAAATTCAAAACCGGTAATCGGTCGAGGAACTCGAGACGGAACCAAACCAGTGGGGATAAATTAATGCGCCTTCTCAACACCTGTAGTCGGTGGAGGAGGAGGAGAAGCATCACCCGCTACAGGCGGCTCAAACGGCGGCGGGGTCCGACGAAGCTCTCTGCTACGAGGTTGGAAAATGGCTTCATAATCGCTTTCGCTGGCTATAAATAACTCGGGCCCCAATTCATCCTCTGGATCGGTCGTCATTGGATCCGAATCCTCACTCCTCTTCACCAATGCCAATCTTAGAACGATAAAAAGAAGGGAACTCCGTCAGCAGAAATACAGCGGTCAAAAAGCATTCAGGAGCTGTCCAATTTTTATTTTACTTTTATTCCGATGAAACTATTGATGTAGATTGTCAATCGTGGGAAGTGTTGAAAAAACTGCTGTAGCAGATTTAGCAGAAGATTAAATGAAAAAAGAAAAACTTTGGTTTTATAGAATTTTTAAACCGGAATTCAGACATGTGTGCCACTCACATACACACAAACGGACGCAGTCGAGAAAAGATGGGACTCGTGATGATGCTATGCAAAATTAAGATTGAGATCAGCAGAGGTACAATATCTGCCATTACAATTTAAGACAACATTGTAATTTACAACTTCATGAAAAAAAATTCATCCATGAGAATGATACTGTACTTCTCGCTGCTCAACAACAACAAAAAATCCTCCGCCGTATGTTCTTAGTAAGCAAAATAAAATTTGAATTTAAAAAATATTAGACTTGTGCTGGCAATCTCAGGCGAAAAAAGAATACTCACGAGTCTCTGTTGGCCAAAAAACGACTGTTGTGATCGAAGGAACGGCGGGAATGTGAGTTGGAGATAGCCGGGATTGCCCGAGCTGTTGCATCTTCGCCACGGGAAGACCAATCCACAACATAAATTGACACCACGGACGAATGGAACGACGCCCCAATCTAAAAAAACGATAAACCTCCATTAATCAAACTTTTTGATACATATCTCAAAACAACAGCTATGCATATAATCTGAATACAGTACTGTACTGTAAATCGATCCCTTGAATTCTCGTAAACCACCAGAAATTGGAAAAGCAAGGTGGAAGAGAACAAACCAATTGATTCTGGGCGCACGAGATATCATGAACCTTTCCCCAGTTCAAGAGGAGGGTATCATGGGTTCGAGCAGGTTCCCAGCCATAAACTTTAAGCGTGTCCTGCGACCCAGCGTACAAGCATCTGCCAGCATTTTCGAAATAAATGCACCTTCGAAAATATACAGAAAAATGCATTATTGAGAAGTCTCCTAATCAGAGAAAAATAATCTTACTTAATAGGACCACAGTCAGCCTCCGTCATAGAAACCATTTTGAAAGACTCCAAATCCCAGAAGACAACTCTTCGATCATTTGAACCGGATCCCAACAAGAATTCGTTGGGATGAAACTCGACGCAAGATACAGGACCTTTATGACCCAGCAGTTCCTTCAGCAACTTTCCACTTCGCAAGTCCCAAAGCTGTATGGGAACATGAATATGGTTTTACTCGCAACATCGAAAGCCCTAACCAGAGAAAAATACTAATATTACAGCTAACATACCCAACGGTATGTTAGCTGTAACATTAGTATTTTTCTCTGGTTAGGGCTTTCGATGGCACATTTTCATTGATGTTGAAAATTGAGGTGAATTGACCTGGCATCACAGCACGTTGAACATGACAGAAGCCTCGCAAGTTCAAATTCAGAACAGAGTAGCAAATTTTAACCCTAAAATCCGAACTGACTCCCATGAAACGTGCTTTTCGAGGAATTACATTTCCAGTTTCAGTATCACGCGAGTTTTTCGTTTTCTCCTCTCACCTTCACAATGGCATCGTCTCCGCCGGACGCAATCCACTGACCATCCGGACTGAACTTGACTCCATTTACGGAACTGCTGTGACCCTTGTAAGTGATTACACATCCTTTGCGACGAATATCCCACAACTGAGAAAATATTCGTTTATAATCGAATATCGCATAATGTATATGTATATATATATACAGTATATATAACCGTATAAAAGTACATCGCTGGCGCGATCAGAAAATGTTCTACTCACTTTAATATTACTATCCAGTGAACCGGAAACGAGCAAATCCCCGTACGGATGAAAATCGACAAAACGAATATTAGCCTTGTGGCCAGTGAGAGTCCGTATGATTTTAGCAGCCTCTAAATCCCACACCTTGATGGCTCCTGAAAGAGATCCAGCACAAACTAGCTCCTCTGTCGAGCTAAAACGAACGCATTCCACGGGTGTTGTGTGTCCATCCAGCGCCTATATTAATGAATTCAGAATGAGAAAATTAATGCATTCGGAATGGGATCAATCTTTCGAGATACTGTACACTTCTCGAGTCAGCAATACTTTGGCTTCACAGGTCGGCGAACAATAGAAGGAAATTAATGCAAACATGTATAGCACACACGCTCGTGAATTAACATCTAAATCTAACTATACTAACCATAATACAATTGGGCTTGCCGACCGCCCACAAGTTGACCTTCTTGTCATCCCCTCCAGTGACCAGGACGCGTCCCGACTTGCGTCCGAGGGCAACCGAATTGACATTCGCATCATGGGCAGCGAATTCCTCTATGAAGCAGTTTGAAAATGCGTTTCAATTAAATGGAAGGCCCCGAAAAGAAAACCAACCGTGACTTACGAAGTTTCCACTGCTTTCTACCGAGCCCGGCCATTTCATTCTTCAAGAGAGCACGAGGTCACTGATTGCAGAACATTTATAGATCACTTGGCGCAACGATCGAGACAGGTAGATGAGCACTTTCTCAACGACACTAACTGAGGCATTCTTGAGGTAAGTGTTGTAAAACCTTCACTTAAAATATCACGCACGGTTTATAAGTTTCTGGAATCACGAGGAAGGGCAGGAATGACTTGCGGGCGCATGAACTTCTCTTGATAATGCGTGCCACAGACTCTCGTCCACGAGAAATAGTGTCAAGACAACGTTCGCCAACCAAAGAGCCAAAGAAATATCGCCATGTTTCACTCAACTCGAAGGCGGGTTTTATGGTAAAAACAAACCCCACAATCAATCGGGCTTCTTCCCTCTTCGCATTCCTCAACAATAACTTCACGAACATCACAGTACTAGCAAGTCACTCAGAAACTCCATACACACACACGCGTGGGCGCCACCATCGTTCCAGCAATGTCTCCATCTATCCGTAAGGTTTCCACCTGAACTTTTCGCCTAGCTCGATTGCTGACATCTATGCATGTCATGGATGGACCCCTCTTGTGCGGAGTGATCCAGCAACACTGTACAGCACATTGTTCTTTGCTAGGTGATTAGCGATAGCCTGTTACCGGGTGACATTCAGCCCATGGTTTGGCTCACAATACCGCATGCTGAACAATGAAGTGCTCAGTTAACTGTAGGCTACCCTTGATCAGCCGGAAGGAAGACACAAAGCTTCAGTATAATGCAGGTTTTCTGACTTTCAACTACAGATATTTGATCACAGTAAAGGTGGTACATGCAAATTGACAGTCAAATTTCCTTGGAGGTCAACTTGCAATTCAATCTCTTTCTTGAAATTTGACCGGTTTTAGCCTCTTTTTCTAGCGTTTTTGTGCTGTTTGCCCTTGATTTTACAGTTTCTCAGAACTGGACCATTTTGCAATTTGACCCTAGACCAGCAACACAGGATTAGGGTTGAATTGCAGGGCACCACCTATGCTGTATTCTAAAGCCATACACATTGATGCATGTCAACAAAATCAGAGATCAAGTCATCATGGATGTTGAAAAATATCTCCTATTCCCATGAAAACCTTGCATCAGTTCAGTTCCATAGCCAATTTTGAATAGGAAGGCATTTGTTGCTCGTCAAAACTCAAAAAATCCCCTAATTGAATCGTTTCTCAATAATACAATTGCAGCTGACATTCTTTGTTAGTTTTCCTTTTGTTGGAACATATAAATGCAAGTTTGGTCCAGTTTTGAATAATTGATCAGGCCAGTTGACAATGATAATTCAGTATAATGAATTGGATAATTCCTTGTCATGGAATACCTCATGAACTGGGAATTGGAGGAGGCAATTGTCATTGCTGAGGAAAAATTTTGCCATGCTTTTCAAGGAATTTCTCATTGCAGTAGGGATAAATCTGGAGAGTCAGAATCATCTTTTTTTTTTTTTAATATGATAACACGTGATCGAAGGCACGGTTTCAAGAATAACTGAAATTAGTAACCCTCGATGAACGGAAGGCATAAAATCTTTGTAACCTCCGATATACGTACAGTACTCACAAGAGAACAAATCAATTATTGAACGACGTAGATAATATAGAATAATGTAAAGTAGATCCAATCCGCCAAGACGTACATAAACGAGGAATCTTAGGTAGTGGAACAGTGCGCGGAAAAACCCGATAAATTCTCTAAGAATACAGCTTCTACCAAATAAATAATTTAATGCAAGTGATTACACGAAATCAAACATACCACTATGTCTTTATTCGGCAAATACAATTCCCAGTGATTCGCCACAAAAGAAACATAACGCAAGGAAAAATTAAAGGAAACAACTTCCGCACACCACCTGTCGCACACATACCTAAAATAAGGAGAAAAGAAACCATTCTTCCTCGAGGCACAGAACAGAAGAGAACCTTTCTCCCTTGCAAACAGCTCATGAAACAAAGCAAAAAGATTCTTCCTTGCGAAAACATTGAACTTGAAAAAAACTGACACTTTCAATACCTTCAGCGTCCACGGGACCATAGAATCAAATTACATTCTCCAAGAGGGAACAGTACGAGTGAGTATGGGACACGGGAATTCAACGCAGGTGCTCCGGGGAATATCGACATGTTCATTCACTCCACTGTCAACATACTCATATGAACCATCCTCCTAAAGGGGATACGAAAGGTATGCTGTGAGAAGTTCAATAGCTGCACATCATCTTGCGATGGACGAATCTAGCTTCCCTTATCCATGATGCTTTTGCAATTTCCGAACCGTTTCTCTTGTGCTGTTTAAGAGCAGTGGTTCCCAAACACTTCAATTCACAGAGCCGCTTTTACATATGTGTCTTTAGCGGAGTCTCTCCGCGGTGTTTAGGATGATTTATTCAGAGCAGAAGAAAGGGGGGTGAATAAGAAGCAGCATGCAAACTAAAGACGTAGCACAGTACTGCAAGTTGATTCAATTTTTGAAGGCCGTAATTCTCGAACCTATCACGTCACCGTGTTCTTTGTTTCTCATAGATATAATGTATTATTCCACATCACTACATCCTCATTCTTTCATTTCCCGGGGAGGGCGTGGAGACAGCCGACAGAGTTCTCACGATTCTACAGAGCGTAGGCTGAGAACCGATGTTTTGGAGCGTTTTCTACGGGAATACTTCCGAGGGCACGCCTTCGATTACCCAAAGCGGATCGGGATTCAGTCTCGAAGAGCAGGAGGGCGAACGATGAAGAGTAAGTGTTGTCTTGAACAGGAGGGAAAACAAGATTTCGGAATTACGCTGCGGGAGAATATGACTAATCCCCGTGAACCCCACTCACTCCGAGAGAAGTGTTCTTTCACCCACCAGGACCGAAGTTCAACTCGAGAGCCGGGCAAAACAAAAACACACACTCTCACGAAGATCGCCACCGAAAAAAAGAGGAAGAAAAACAAATAAACGCAGGGGATCCCATCGTTAATACCAGAAGATACTTTTCGTCGCGTTCAGAATCATCTTTTGTTTTCTTCGCCGAAAATACGTCCAGGAATCGCACATTCTTGCATCCATACACGTTTCTCTCTTTTCTTGTATTCGCAAAATCGCGCGGCGGCCGGGTAGAGGAACACATGCGCTCAACACGCGCGTTGTTGTCCGAGTCAAAAACTGGTCGCAAAGTAGTTTTTCTCCCCTTCTCTCCCCCACACGATAAAATTCAACATCGAGCAGAGAATACACATTTGTTTTGTTTTTTTTTTCTGTGGCAAAAATTTTTTCCCAGTTTTCTTTTTTCCCTCAAGGGTCCCGAGAATTGGCAGGATGGGAGAGTTTTGTTTTCTTCTTTAAAATGGGTTCGTTTCTTGTAGCAGATATGCGGAAGGAAGAAGGTGAGTGCAATTCCAGTTCGGACCAAAGCCTGACGGGACGCTCACTGAATCGCGCACGAGTGCTTCTGTCCATTCTTCAGCTTCAACTTCGATTTTGGCCTGTACTTCTCTAGAAGCAGCAGCTGCTTGGCATTAATCGCTCCACGTCTCTTCCTGAAAGAGAACATTATCATTATCAAATGGATTCCCTGCTCTCATATAACAGAAACACAATATCTTTCAGTTTCAATCTTGAAAAAAAAGCATTCCAACAACACACGCTTTTCATGACCAGTACCACTTCAACGCAAGACGTCTCGAACTCCTCGATTTGCATTACCATCGCGAAAGTGTCGCCTTAACGTGTGCTTCGTTTGCCACGTGTAAGTAAGTTACGGTTCTGTCGGGGGTTATCCGGTTACTTCGATTTTAATCAAGTTTGTGACTGGCGAGGTTAATATCGTTAGGCTACTGATCGAGGCGACACCTGTCTGTCACAACAGACAGCTACGTCGAACGTTAAATTGATAACACATCAATTGTACAGTACATGGATTTTGGGCCAGCTCGTGAGATTGATTTCATCAGCACCATCGGCCTCTAAAAGGAAATATGCCATTCTTAGACGTAAAAAAAAAAACAAAAAACCTGACGTTTGCTTACGTGTCTTTATTACCTTACGTACAATGATCGAGAATTTTCATAGACTTCGTACACTAGACACATCGCCTCGATGCTTCAATCAAATACAGGTGGACTCCCTCCACGAACTTCTTTTCTACAACGATTATTACACGAATATACAACGAATTTTTCTTTTGGTACCGTGGGGTTCTCTCCCTATGTTATAGACGCTCTCTATGATGAAATTCTCAGCACAACACATTATTTTTCTGGCCCCTTGAATTTTGTCGTGAGGAGAGTCCACCTGTAGAAGCATCCCATAAACGTAACTTCCTCGAATTTTAATTTAATTTCCTAAAATTTTAATTCAATTTCCTCAAATAGCATTCCCAACATAACGGTCTTCTCTTCTAAATTCGTCTTGCTAAATTAGTTCATCCGACAGTTTTCACCTGAATCACAAACCCAACGAAAGGTCATGTAACATAAATAAATCTGACCCAACAAAAAGTAGTATGATTCAGAGGCAAATACAAATCACGATCAAATACGTCGTCGTTCTAACGATTAGGCGACACCTACGTAGAAGCAAAAAATATCTTAGACTGCGTGTGTCACGGAAAAAAACATTTCAAAAATGGAACTGATATCCGAAACCCTCTCAGCTAAAAGGAGAGTTATATAAAGATAAAGAGAAGGATAGTTACTGTCTAATGAAGTCCACGGCGTCTTCGTACTTCATCCCGAGCTCGATGAGGGCCAGAGCAACGAGGACCGGGGCGCGGCCGAGGCCAGCCACGCAATGCACCGCCACGCAGCTTCCACTGTCGTCCCTAAAGCGCCGGTTAAGCAGGTCGAACCAGGCGTCCACTACCTTCGCCGGTGGGAACGTGCCATCCTCGAACTCCAAATCCAACACCGAGATCCCGGCCTCCTCCAGCGAGCCGGCATTGTACGAGGGCTCACATACGCGCACGACGTCCCGCACGTTGTGCTTTCTTAGTTCCTGCAAGTAAAATGAAAATACAACGCGTTATTTTTAAGAAGAAATAACGTACTGTATGGGATTTTAATGAAACACGAGAATTTCAAAAAAGCCCTCCTTCTCGAACGCTTTTAACGCATAGATTCAAGGCTCTTCCCTCGACCAGTCTACTGTGTTGTACAGTATTTTGAAAAATGTTGATCTTGAGTAACGTACCGCACTCATTTTTCTCGTATGACCACCGGTTTTCCAAAAGGAGACGTTGAAAATGAAATTCAAAACAGTTCGCGTCAGAACTTCAAGCATCAAAATGGGAGGAAGCATCTCTGTTCCGTCTACATTCTCTACAATCTACTGAGAAGTATCAGAATAATTGGAAGTGAAAGAAGACTGAGCTCAGGCTGACAAAACTGGTGAAATTATTCGTGAAAAGGCGTTCATCATGTTCAATTATGAACTTCTTTCCGATAATAAATTCACAGAAGATATATTTCAACGTTGAAAATACTGTAAACGAAAATTTAATCAGCAGAAAATATACTCCCAGGGTTCCGAGCCAAAGTCACACGAGCATTCTCTGAAGACTAAACTTTTCAATTCCTTTGCTTTTTATTTAGTTAAGGAACGCTCAAAGAATAAATTGACATTTGCGAAATGTCAACAGGCAAACAACAAGTAAATTACAGTACTGTATCTACAATCCTTGATCCTTCATCCATTTTCTTTTTCAAGTCCACAGCTTAAATTATTCTTCTTCCCTGCTACGCATTACGCGTGAGACACACGAAATATTCCGTGCTCTTTTTCGGAGATGAGTCGTCCTGGCGACGTGTTTTTCGTTGTTGGCAGCGATTTTGAGGTCAACTGCGACGCAACTGTTTCGCTCCTTATTCACGCGCCGACAATGCGGTACGTTTAACCAAAAATATCGACTCGAATCAAACACTTGGAATTATGTTCAAACGAATGCCACTATTGTAGAAAGAAATTTTAATTTCAACGAGTTTTTCCATATTGCGAGTCTTCCGAAAAGTCACTTAAAATTCATTTATACCGTGCGTGATTTTTTTCTCAGATGAAAAATCCATATTACAATGTACACAGCATTTTGCGAGATTTATTACTACGGGTTTGATGACTGACAAACGTTCGAATGATACTGGAAAGAAATGCAGAAACGTTAAAAGCTTCAGCGGAAAATAAAAACGCATCACTTACGATAAAATAACAGGATATCGAGCGATTTTTGCAGCCATCACCATTTAAAAAATGCAAAACCACAAGCAAATTAAATAACTACATTCATTCTCACTAAATTTTAATATCATTATCAAAACTCCTGATATATCGTCATTTATAAGATACAATTTTAAATTTCAACTGTCATGCGAACTAGCCCTTCCGCGGCGAAGGGTTCTTTCCCATCCCGCGGCTAAGTCGGACTTTTCCCGTATGCTACCGCGTTTCCATTTTTCTGGAGGTCACAAAACCCCAGCCAAGTTGTGTGAGGCGAAGTCCGACAAAATCCGGGGGAATGCAGACTGTTGAATTTTCCGAAGTCGGACTTTTTCCGGATTGACCTCCCAGCCAGTAGCATTGCCTTGAGTCCACTACAAAACCCTTTAAAAATGTTGTGTGCTTTCAAATCCCTTGGAATTGCTTTGATGATATCCTGAATGAGCAAGATTTAAAAATTTGTTCCACAGCTTATTTCCTTCAGCTAGCTTTCTCTAAATCTTGTAGCAAAATTTTCCTACACCACAGATGAAAGAAGATTAGGAAGGTCATGAAGGACTTCTTCCAAAAGTGCCAAGCCACTTTCGGGGCAGAAAAAAAAAGCCTCTGCCCTGAGGATTCCTTTTTTTTATTTTTCAGCAAAAATTTTCTGCGCAGAGCAAAAAAAAACGCCAGGATTTTCTCCGACTTCGCCGTCCACTCACTGGCTGGCATTTTTTAAAATCCGACTCTAGGTGACACAAAAATTCGCGAAAAAAGTCCGACTTCGCCGCCCAAGGGCTAGAGGAACTAATGAACAGAAGTTTCGACATTGATTCACAATACCATCAGTTCTGCATTGCCAATCTCCACAAAATTAAGCAGTGATTCAAAAGCACAGGTTCCTCTATATGTTATAAAATATATGAAGTATGTTCCAAAAGACGAGTCAGAATTTGGAAAAACAGGTTTTTTAAACGATCCCAAAAAACGCGAAGACTGAAAAGCAGATGAAGTTTTCCTTCGAGTTAATATGAAATATTTGCGAAAGAAACAGCTTTGCAATCTCCATACAGTACATAAACGGGATTACGTCAAAGGGATTAAAAAAATACGATATTTCCGGATGAAGACGATTAGGACACAAGCTGATGGGATCGAGATCGAAAAGTACCGATCAGTAAGTCTCAAACATGCGAACACTGGTATTCGGCAGATAATGACAAACCTCAATGTAAGCTTGGATGTGAGCATCATCAGGTCGATCAGTGATCAAAAATCGCAGCTTCTTGTATTCAATCTGCGACGGCTCGAGGCGCGTGACACACTTGGAAGAAACGCGCACGTTCCCTGACCCGGTCACGGACACGGTCGTCGCCATCTTCACGCTTTCTCGCTTCTCCCGCCCCGACTCTGCCCCGAAGGTCGACTGGATCGTTACCACCATGAAACCGCACCCGACACTGCAAATTAAGCCATAATACATTTTTTTCTCCACACATTCCTTCTTTTCCATAAAATGACAAGCACAATGCAACCATACGATAAATGGAATCATCAATCATCAGTGAAGACTATTCAATATTTCAGGGTTCTTCTGATCCACAGATGCAAGTTGAAAAAAGCGAACATTACAACAAGAAAATTTTCCAGCTGGTTTCTCCAGCAGCATACAAATATTTTAAATTTCAAAATACATTTTCTAACTAGAGCACAGTACAGTACCATGAAAATTGGCGCTCTCTTATGGCAAATAAATTTTGAGAGCATCCACTCGACTCTGAGTTCATGTACAGTATTTCAGTATAATGCACCGCCACGAATCTCAAGTGGGTAAAATTAAGTTACAAACATTTTTCGAGACACGAACACACAAACGGATGGCTCACGAGTTTGAAGATTCTGGCAATTTGCATAACTGGACACGTGCCAAAATAGTGAGATTCTAAAAATTATTTAAACTCCGCCATCAACTTGAAACCAAAGCTTCACAAGCGGCTCGAAAGATGAATAAAGCAGATAGCTCAAACCGAGTCCATGTTCAATACTGAAGTTCGGAAAAGCGTTTAATTAAATCTAATGAAAAATTTCATTTGCATTAATTATAATGAAGAGGACGTACGTGTTTGTGAATGTTAAAGTAACGTGGCTCAAACGTTTTTCAGAAGGAAAATAAAAATCCTATTGATTTATTTAGTTTAATCCCAATACTTGTGGAGACAACAGAAAAGCAAGTCACAAAAAGTCTACCAAAACAGTGAAAAACACAACATACTGTATTTAGTACAGTATCCCAGCTTCCTCCGGTATTAAATTGACAGTTCGAATCTTTCAACTCATTTCAACGATTATTCGCCGTTTTGTGCAATCGATGTTTTTTTTTTTGCGACAGGAACTACGAACCTGATTAACGCAGTGACGTGAAGAACACAACTGCTATCACACAACAGAACCGGCGAACAACAACCCGCGCCCATACAATAAAAAAAAGCACATCATTTGCGCTTCAAGAAAAAAAAAGCCAATCAAAGTCACGTGTACTGACGGGTCAGTCACGAGACCGCGCTTAACTACTCCAGATGGGCAAGAAACATCAGCACGCAACGCTCAGCAGTAATACTTGAACTTTTCATTGTTTCCAACACCCGAACCTTAAGAAAGTATGTTGCAAAGAAAGCATCGCAACACGAGATGGCAAGTGAGTTCATGACTTGGCCAACGCACCTCCCTTGTAATGTTTTGTTTACTTGACCTCGGGAATCCCTGTGGCTCATCTTTGAATACGGTACTTCTGTTAACAAGTACTACACACATATGCTGAGATATTTGCAGAAATGGAATCTAGACACTTCTCCACTTCCAATAGCAAAAGAGGAGAGGGAACGAGAACGGAACATTTTTGCTCCCATCCGTCAAAGAAACCTTCTACCATTCTCAAAAAAGTTGATCAATACCCACGGAATCTAGGCTTACAGTACCTCATCAACCCAGCTTGGTTTGAACCCTAACTAACGAAACCAAAATTAACTAACCGAACTCAATACGGAGATGGTTCAATCTAATTCTAACACATAACTCGTATCTGACAAACGTGATGCCCAACTTCACTAACTTGAAACAAAACTTAACTTGACACAGTATAATATCTCCCTGTGCGACATTTTTTAGAGTCCCGGTCTGAATTCACTCGAAAGATCATTAAAAACCTCCCTGACTCAAAGACGTTCCTCCTCAAACTCTGCAACTCGAATTTCCTGGATGTCTCTTGGCCATTACTTTATTGAAACAGGAAAGAGAAAAGCATACAAAATGTAACTTGATGTGCTTTGAAAAGAAAGTGAAAGACTAATCAGCAAATAAACCCTTGCCTTCAGATTCAGCATCCTGCCGACTCATCAAGAAGCAATTTCAGGCCTAAATATATAACCAATTAAAATTTCCTGCAATTCTTTCTTTTCCCCGACAAGAAAAGTTGTTTCCGTGCCTCGAGACCTGCCCGACTTTTTTACTGGTCCCTGGAAGTTCAACGGCACGTGAATCACAGCTAACCTATCCTGAAGTCATAACACGACGAAGATAATCAATCGTTCGCCAAATCAAACTTGACAAAGGTATCACAGATACCTGTTGAAACACATGAATGCACGACTGCGAGACAGTTTCACCAAAATAAATTTCCACTCGTTTCAATACACAAAAAATGAAGCTTACATAATTTTTCCTCCAGTTGTCACGAGTATAAACTGATGGAAAAAAATATCCGTATTCGGATTCGACTTTCATGAGTGACGCTTACCGATTTGTTTCAATACAAAAATTACTGTAGCTTGAATCACTTTCCCGGCACTGAAAACTAGTATACACTGAAAGCGAAACAAAAAAAATCATCCGCATTTAGATTCGAATTGACGCTTACCGATTGCCAGCGATTCAGAGTTCACGTTCCCCTTGAAATTTGGTGCGATGGCCGAGGGTAACTTTCGGGTGGATGATGAATGCCCTGGAACCAGGTGTCGAGACACGGTGTTCCGACTACAGCTTGGTAACGCGTTCGCAGCAGCTTCCTCCTCTGTTTTCTTTTTTTCTTCCTTTTCCGCCTCACTTGTGCTGTGCCTTGCAAAACTCGCTGCTCACGCCGCCCACAGGTGCCATCCAGCAGGTGCGCCCACCAAACGCCACTGTTCTCCCACAAATCCGTCTGCGTCGACGAAAGAAAGGAAAACTGGTAGAAGAACGCCTAGCCGCATTCGGCAATGGAACGGCATGGAAAACTTCTATGACAACCACACACAACACCCGATTCCGGGAAATGACCCCAGACTTCGTTCCTTTCCAAGTAAACACGAATCCGCCAGCGATAAAAAACCTGCCTGGACACGCAAAAAGAGATAACCAGGAATAATTAACGTCGATTAGCAAGAAAACTACGTTCGCATTAAACGGTCTCTTTGATGGATTCGTATCACCGTGAGAAATGATCTCAGAGAGAATAAGGACCACGAAGATCGAGATAACGGGATCCGGTAGCAAAATATCGCTCAAATCTAGGCTACGCAAACTGAAAAATTAAAACGTTATTTTTCGAGACCCGGAACGTTATCAAAAATCTACCATGTAGTGTTGAAAATTTACCTGGCTCAAATGCTGATTACTTTATCTGTCGTACTGACAAGAAGCATTTAGTACTTGACAGCTTGATATTGAACTAATAATTCAAACTTGTACCTCGTGACCATCGTAATGATGGACATGATATGGACAAGGATATACTGTATGTAAATATTATAACGCGTAAGTTAAAACATGAGAATCGAAGTGGCACATCAATTAGTGCCTCACTACGCACAATCTGTTATCTGATCTAGAAATGCAGATGATACCCCTACTTATGAACATTATAGGAATCAGTACTTGATTCTAACGAAGTAAGACAAGTATGATCGGTACAGTATACCTTTCATAAAGCACGTCATTAAATAGAAAATTGAGATTTCTAGTCGGTCAGACGCTGAACCAGCGCCGAGCTAAAAATCGCATTCTGCAGAAAATTATTTCTTACGTTATTCCCGTGGAAATCGTTCGTTCGGAGACCGAAATAGATTTCAGCCGCTGTTCCATCTCGGTTTGAATTTAAAAGTAACGCACGGCTTTTAGCTCTGCCCTTTATATTTATTAAACTCAGATTCTGGCTGAATGTGACCTATCCGAAAATTCTCTTCAGCATTTACTCAAGCGAAAAATATGATCTGACGTGAATAAAACGGATCTGCGCGAAGCAATCTACATAAAATTTCAGCACAAAGAGCTTGAATAGCTCGCCTAAAAAAATCGCGCGAAGTGACCATTCTTCGATTCGAGAAAAAAAGGAAAAATTCGTTGATCATGTAAATGTTAAACTTTTTGCTTGTCAGGTCAACTGTCACACGCATGATGAATAAAAGCTGTGATCACCAGAAGCACAAGTTTTGTAAGAAAAAAGATGAAGATGCTAGATAATCGTCTCACGTCACTCAAGTTCTCGAGTGATGTACCACCGAGACAGAATAATTATTACATTTTTTCTCCGGCACGGACAAAATGCCAAAACTCAGATTTCCGTTGATTTCTTTAAATCAGGGGAGTTGGATCAGCATTTTCTACAGAAATCGGTGATAAATTCTAGTTCCGCGCTGGTTTCGGGTATGACAGACCTTGAATTTCGAAAATTTCAAGTTAGTGACACACCTACAGGCAATGATATCAATAAGCCTAATACAGTATATTGGTGTACTCTCTATAAACAGCGATTTCCTCTGTATAACGAAGTTTTTTGGTTTGAGAATGTTAGGCTAGTTGAAAAACGGTTTTTTTCCTCAATGAATCGAGTACAATACGGTAAAGTGTTATGTTTGGATCATTGTGACAAACACCACGATCGGAGAACTTCGATGAAATTTAATACGGTTTGAAAATGAGCTCACGTTAAATGCGAGTTAACGCGACGTGAGGTTATTGAACTGAGGTCAGTGAAGCTGGTTTTCTTTGCAGTTAGAACATGAAGTTCATGCTAGGTCAAATTTGGGAGGGAAAATAATTTAAATTTTGTTGACCTTTTAATTGAAGAAAATCTTTTGGGTAAAATAATCAGCCATCTGAAAGCTCTGGTCAGTTCGGCTGAGTTTATTTCGGTGCAATATGACTGCATTCAGTTAGTTCAGTCAGGATATGTTTTAGAAGATTGATTATGACTTGAAAATGATGAAAAGATGGTATACCAAGGCGAGCGTTCACGTCAACTACTTGAACGGTAGGTTCTCTCAGGCTAAATAAGGCTTAGTTTAATTTGAACGATAGGTTTGGTGAGGCTAATCACGAGTTGGTCATTAAATCAGTTCAGTCTAAAACTCTAAATTTAGTGAAGTTTATGTAAATCACGTTAGGTCACCCCCGTTAGACAGTGGTGCATTTAAACGAAGTGAAAGAAGGGCGGGGCAGGTTCAACTAGCGAATGATCAAATCAGCATAGTCATCACTGACCTAGAAATGAGTACTAAACTTCCATCGAACACTTTTATAAAACGGATTTCATCATTAAGTCGAGTTCTGGCCCTCGAATTGCTTCTCGAATGAGTTGACAGGATGCTGAAGTTGGAGGCAAGGGTTAATTTGTCCGATCAGTCTTTCACTTCCTTTCAAGGCCCATCAAGTCAAATTTTTATCGCTTTTCCATTTCCTGCGTCAATAAAATGAAAGAGAAAGACATCCAGAAAATTTGGGATTTGGGAGTTTGAGCAGGAAAGCCTTCGAGTTGAGGATGCTTTTAATTCATTGTTTTTAGGGGAATTCCGACAAGGACTAGAAAAAGTGATTGACGAATGACGAAGTGAGACAGTCGACTCGGAAAGGTTTGAGTTATCGAGGTTCAACTCTAAAAAAAAGTCCAAACGAAGTTAGGTTACCTGTATTGCGACGGGGTGCACTGAGAGGAAAAAAAATTGGAACAAGGACAGGACAGTTTCAACGTTTGAAGGAGAAGTTAACATCGTAATTAAACAGCTAGAAAGACAAACTACACACCCCCCCCCCCCCCCCCATTCCCTTTTAGTATCAAACCCGGAATACAATAGCATCACTTCACCACAGCACTCTCGTCTCATGCCTGCCACCGATCACAAGGGTTAACGAGAAAACCTCCCAGTGACACAGACAAATACACACACACATACGCAAATGCAACAAACGTTTCGGTCACTCTTCGAAAAAGACAAAAAAATGAAGACTCACCCACGGATCCGCGACGACGACGATGACGCACCACAACGGAGGAACAGATGTTGTCCACGACTACGAAGCAGGGAATGAACCAGACCGACTCACGTCTTGAGCTAAGCTCAAACAGACTCACGGGCACGTCCTACGAGGCGAAAACGGGGCGAAAAAGAAACGAAGTGAAACTTGGCCATCAACGCACTCTGTTCCCACATCGACACAAGGAGAAACAATTTTCATCGGGCGAAAATCGGAACGTTGGAATCAACAGTCGAGGAGTAACAAAAAAATGAAAATAAAATAAAAATACTCGACACGTGGAGCAAACATAGTACTGTACCGGGTGGCGTATCAAGTCACTTTCAACTTCTCCGAAAGCTCGACCAATTCGTTTCCAAGATCAAACACCTCATTCTTGTTCCCCTCGTCAAACTAGCAACACCCTTGTCAATCAACTCGCAGTTATGCTAAATCGCAATGAAAAGTTATTTTACGTGATGTCCAAACGTTTATGTGCCCCAAAAAAAGACAGCGTTCTAATAGCGCTTCAAAACTAAACCAACACTGTGCACTGAGATTAGCAGTAATCGAGTCTATAAAATTAGAAACAAATCAATTGAAGCAGGCAAAAAATAAAAATAAACGTGCACACAATCATCTTCAAAACGTTTTGCTCAGAAGCCAATAAACCGTTACTGCTGTAATGATCATGCGCACACAATACGAACCCAATGAGTTCTTATACAGTACTGTGCAAGCAAATTTCATCACCGTCCAGAAATCCTTTTGGACACCATGCATGTGTCCTCCATAAAAATTGTCCGACGAATCAAGAGCATTAATATGCATAAGGTGTTTATCTTAATTGACCGGGAAAACTATGAAACTTGAGGCATTCAGCAATTAAAATAAAACTGTGACACCTGTCTGAACTACAGCAAGTCGACATTGTAAAACACTGAATGATAAAAGCAGCTTCGTACTTCGAAATACACAGTAAGTTTTTGAACATGACACAGGGCGGAGCAGAAAACAATGGACCTATCTTCAAAGCGAGTATCTTACAAATATTCAAGCAATCACGTAGAACAAAACGCTGAACTAAAGCTCATTCAATTGTCTCTTGATATACTGTATGTCCCGATTCTGCGGTTTTGAGGACACTGGGAACATCAACGAAAGTATTTGAGCGGAATAAATACTAGACGTTGGCTTAAGAAGAATTTATGCAAGGGTTGTCCCACTTTCGCATGATTCTAGCATTAAGCGTTCAATACAGTATGAAATCCGTCTCACGAATTTTTCCGTTCAATTTTCCGGCGACATTCTCACCGACTGGCTGGAAAAATAATCCTTTTTTATCGTTGCTGACAAAATCTCTCTTTATTGTTGCAAATCGGTGCACTCCTGATAAAACCAAGTTGAAATGTTCCCGCGAAATTTGCTCTTCCTTCATAGATTTTTTGGTCCAGCAAATAATTTCAGAACAGACGTTCTCAGAAATACCAATTAACCCGAAGAGTGCGTCGAAGTGGAACAGAAAATTTCAAGTTCGTCGCCACCAACCTACTTTCACGTCAGCCACTCGAAAGTTCACACAAAAAATTTTAAAAATAAAAAATCGTCAGACCAGAAACATAACTCTGAACAGTGGAAAAGTTCAGCTTGACTGACCATGTGGCAGACATTTACAGTACCAAGTGAAAGGAAACACCTTCGTACGATATTCAACTATGCAAGAAAGCACGCCAAAATTTTTTCTGCGGGTTTATTTGATTCAAATGCCGAATTATAATGGACATGAACCAAAATAAACAGAGCTTTATTAAAATTTTTCAATTTCATAACTTGGAAAATTCGGGAGACACTGAAATTTAAATTTGGCGCCAATACTTCTGAGTGCACTCAGTATAATACATTACTGTACTAATGTTCCCCTCAAATTAAACTCCTTCACAAAAATCGAGACCTAGAAGAAATGATCCTAATATTGTACCAAAGGAAGATCGTCAGCATCATCTAAATTAACTTTCAAACCGAAGTTAATAAAAAAGCGGGTTCAAAAGATTAATCATATGTCACTTCTCGCCATAAAACCTTCGATGAATTAAGAAAACGATCCTCCTGAAACGCGCCAACAAGCTACGTAGTTCGTTAAAGGTATCCAAGTACTAAATGAACTTAAAAACAGGAACGCAGTGTTTGTCATCACATGACCTCAAAACAAGCGTGAAGGAAACCTAGGGAAGCTCTACTGCAGCATGCTTTCTGTAAAAAAAAAAAAAAAATCTAAGGGGCATAAGCGGGTAAAAAAGTAATAGCGGAAAATTTTAAAAAATCTTTCCATCTCCAAGTCAAACGTCCAATCCCTCGCTTGGCAACTTCGTAGCACATAACCTGCTACGAAGATCCGTTCCTTTGAAGAGGTCTGCGTACTTGACATAAGAAATAGAAAAGATCTGCCGATGAGAATACAATCCACTCGGAGTATAAAAAACTCATTTCACTGTAACATGCTCAACATGAAGAGAGCTTCGCGTAAGAATTATTTCGTCGGAACCCTATACGTACTGAACAAAACACACGTACTAGAACAGAACACAGTCAAAACATGACTTACTTTTATATAGGCTTCTTCAATTTATGAATAAGAGCTGTCACATGATCGTCTAATTAAGCAAAACGAAAGATCGTGTGAAGAAAAGTGATGAGATTGTGGAGCACGCTCTCATGAATCTTCTGTTAATTTTACCGGAAGATCAAATTTTAATTTTCAACATCAGGAAGGAAAGTTCATGAACCGATATTTTTGGAGCACCGTTAGATTACTCACCGCTCGTTTCAGAAAAAATTCCATTCGTTGATCCAATTTAAATTTACGGACGTCAAATAATCAACACGGCAAAACAATGAAGGTTGGGAACGACCGGACACGTCTTCATTTTATACTGTGCTACAGTTAAAATGACACAATTTCGGCACTGTATCAGTATATTTCAATTGTTGAAAGAACATTTCAAATTTAAATTACGTTGGACGAAAGAGGCGCCCTTCTTCAAATTACGGTACCTTACGTTATTCACAATGCTAAACTGTAGTAGCATACGTAAGCACTGAACATTCAGTTGGTCGTGATTCACTTAACTTGAACAGGGAACTCAGTTTCGAGGGTACATATTATTGTCAGCTCAAGGTAGCCTATTAAGTTATGGAAATCTTGAAGGAAGAACCACAGCTTGTCTTCTGAATATCGGGCAAATAATCTCTCGAAGAAATCGTCCACGTTTGAGTCGGAATCGTTCTTTCGATGATCCACGACCTTATTTTTCCAACATGAAACAATACGCGATTGGGTTCAATATTTTCGAACTATAACACATTTGTACCTAAAATACCTCCGAAGAGTTCCTGATAATTAAAGAAATATCCATAATTAAATATAAAAGAATCGTGAATTTGTTTAAAGAATCAGAACGCTAACGTAATAAAAATTCAACCGCGGAAAAATTGAGCAAAATCACGAAGACGGGTGAAACCATCATGCGAATACTGTACACGTTTCAGGCGAGAGTCGCAAAATGGCTGAAAGGGCACAATCTTGACTATCAGGTGACCGAATGGTTCAACTTTGAATTCTCCATCCTCGGTACAGCAGTCAAAAGAGGAACATCATTCAAGCACCACAAATTTATCGTAATTAGCGTTAAGTGGAATGCGAAAAATACCCGGACTAAATTTCAACACAGTACAGTCGAACTTCCAAGGGACCAGCAAACAAACTCGAGTTGGGGAGATGGAGGATCACTGGAAACGATAATTGATGATATTCTAGGCATAACATTGCATCTTGGATGCATCGAAAGGATGATGAACTTGGGGGCAAGTGTTCATTTGCTCTAGTGGTCTTTCACTTCCTTTCAAAACACATGGAGTTTCATTTTTCGCTCTCCAGTGTCAATAAAATGACCGAAGGTATTCAGAAAATTCTAGTCACGCAGGTTTGATTTCAGTTAGGGAGTTTTCTAATTGAATTTTTTCTACGGGAATCCAGACAGGGACTTCAAAAAACTTGACATAGGGAGGTATGTCAATGACTTACGGAGGTTCGAGTTATATAACTTCAGCTGTACTAGGTATTGAGAATGACATTATTTCAGTATCTCTCGATATTGCAGGGACTAACATATAGAAATTATAGATGAACCACCGCAGAATGCAAGTTTTCCAAAATATCCGAAGTAATATCGAAATTGACAACAATCGCGTACCTGAAGTCCCCACGTCTCATCACCGGCACCACACGCGCGGGAATCGCGGGCACTGGCGAAAAAAGACACGGTTTCTGCGGGCAAAAAGAAAAGGAGCTATCATGAAGCTGAGCGCCAACACTGGACACGCACAAGTATCCGACGTTCACGGCAACAAAGCCACTCCTTCACGTCCAATCCCGGCGTCCTAACCGCATTCTTACGCTTGGCAACTGCAGCAAACGTTCTTCAGCGATACGAAAAAGAGAACAACGTAAGCCCTAACTCTAAGTGAAGTGACTCGTCAAGGAATTTCATATGCATAGAATTCAACAAGCAAGAACGTCCGTGCGCACAGATCAAATGATGAATATCCTTTATGCTGCCAAGAGAAAAGCACCCAGGAACAAAATGATATCACCAGAAGTTTCAAGAGGTCAATTTTGTGTCGCTTCTCTAACTTTCATTTCACTATGTAAATCACTACAGAATTTTATAAGAAATAAATCTCATACACACGGACGGCACTGTATAAAAACATTCCACGAATCACCGGTTAAAATAACAGCCAGGAAGAAAGCTAAGAATACAAAAACATACAGAATAGAAGCAAACTGTAGCACTGAAATCAAGCAGTACCCAGCAAATATTATTCTTCATCATACTCAAGCATTCCTCGCGTGACAGGTTCTTTTCACTTCCCTAGCAAAGTAAGTCCTTCTCTGGAAAACCCAATAACTCGGAAAAAGGGGGAAAATGGGATGTCACGAATGAATCTCACATGCGGGTATTATTTTTTGTTGTTGAGTGCTTCACGTAATGGATGCTTTTCTCCTGTCACCGTCTTAATATGGTCACGCAGACAATGACAAGGTTTGTCACTTCTCATTCGTTCGCCATCTGGAAGAAAGTCAATCCTCTTAACGAAACTTGTCTCACCACTTAGATCAGAACTCGCCCGGTGTCTTCGCCGCAACGGGTTACCAACACATGCGAATGACTTCGTCTCCCACTTCTGTTGCGTACTAGAAACGGCTAATGACCTCGGATCTCTCGACGAACACATAGGGGCGTTTCACAACGAATAAATGTTTCCAAGAGCAAAACAAAAACAAAAAGGTGACTGAAAGACCGAAAAGGCTGGATTCTAGCACATACAAGTGAAAGGAAAATCTAAAAACGTTCCAAAAATCCAAGAAACTTTCAAGTAAGAATGGGATTCGTACCAAGACTCACAAGAATCCCAGTGAAGAGCTGAGCAGTTGGATAACTAGGAATGAACCAGCTTAATCGTGTGACAATAGCCCAGCATCACACGCAGTCATTATCCTCCGATGACAAAAAGAAGCACCTCGAACATTCGATGTGAAGCATTAGGTAACCCGATGAAATTTAGATCAGAACAATGGCCGACGCTGCATGAGAAACTTGGGAGGAGGAATTTAGAAGTTATTCAAACAAAATATTCTTTCGTCCGAAAATACCATGTATCGAAAATGGCGTTGATCAAGGAAACTCGCGTATATGCACGCCCCTGGAGAGATGCTTTCGGCTACACGGCGGAACTACACATAAAGCAGAGCAGCATCGAAGTACTCCTGAACAGCATTGGGGACTTTCTTTCAAGAGAGAAGGGATATTCCGGCGAAAATCAGAACAATGATCTGAGTCGTTCAAAAATAACCACGCAAGAGGCTTTGCAACCTATTCTACAACAGGACCATGCACGAATGCAGGATTAAGAAAACAATGCAAATGCGTATAGCCCACCGAAAACTCCGAAATTATGAATGCTATTTACAGCTTACCTAGAGCCGTAAGAAGGAATCCGTGGATTGAAATACTTGAAATGCCGCAGATTTCCGCTTCTACGAGAACACTGAACAGTTAATGAAACGATGATTCGATTCTCGCCATCGACCTTGCCTAACATCAGCACAACACAAGAATGGACACTCACAGGAAAAATTACACCAGTATTCCTCTGTTTGGATAACGGAGATTAAGCGTACCTTGCACTTGAAAGAGAAGCTCACCGCTGCAGTTCAAATTCGAAATTTCATTAGAGAATCCGCAACGACGGAGGAATAATCGACTCAATTCGTTACAGTAGCGTTTGCATTCTCGATCGTTCGACACGTGACTACGAAGCACTATTGCCATTCAGTTGGATCAAAGAAACTGTTCAAGTTCACCAGGTGTCGCATACTTCGCAGTACTGTACAATAAATACTTTACAGTATATCAGATTATATTCACATTTCGCCATTCTTTCCACTATTTCACTCCATCAGGTGTCATGCATGAGTTGCACCGCACGAAGTATTACATTGATGGTTCGGGAATTTCCAGAAAGAAGTTTCGCTCTTTCAGCTCCACCATGGAGATTCGCTTTACATCCTCTTCGAATCCATCAGCTCGGGTGGTTACGAGGGAAAAAAAAGTCCACTTTCGTCCCGGTGGACGGACTTCTCGCCGGAGCTCACCCCATATCCACACCAGTTGCATCACCGAACAGCTGAGATGGGAATTCAAAATCTCGCTCGATTACACCGACATTTGCGCTTCTTCTAAACAACTAAAAATAAAAATTTCATGAATATAACACGGCGAATGTTATACATGATGCAGATTCGTCTTTCCTTACATAAAGAGAAACCTGGGGGCTTCGCATAAATTTGGGAGCAAAAAGAAGCATGTTGAACAAGATCGGAACGCTATTGCTCAGTTGATTTGATGAGCAAAATTTATAATTAGCAATAACAGAATGAATCAAATACTATACCTAACATGAATTAGGCACGTTTCTGAATGAGAAGATTTTCGTGACAAGCCATGGTTTAATTTTTGGAAAAAAAAGACTCACAATGAATAATATATATTTTGCTCAACTTCCACATAGCGCAAACATAGATCGCAACAACACTTGCGTATTCTTCAGCGTAACATCAATGTTCCACCATTTCATTTCCAGCGTCACAATTCAATTTAACATACACGCAAAAAATAGCTATAACGCGCAGAAATCGTCTTTGTTACAAATTCAGACTCCATCGAAGTTTATAGTCATGTTCATCGGTTTGATAATAGAACAAACTTCGGGATTCTCCAGCTCGACGAGCAAATGAATGAAATTAAAGCACAACCAAAATTTTCGTGGAACAAAAACCACCGCAAACAAATTGCAATAACAAATAGAAACAATCAAATGTGCTGGATAACGCACCGATATCCGCATGGAACGCGTTCGTTTCGGAAATGAGTGCAACTCGCAATAATCACATCGCCTGTATATACGAGGTATTTCAATGAAATACGGTACTGAATAATCACGAAAATTAAATTTAGCCTCATCTGAACCACTTGGAATCGCACGGTAACCTAACCCTTAAACCAAGTGAAGATTCGGGATCACATTAAAATTAAACTAATGCCAGTCATCTGCAAAAATTCATACCACCTTCGTGACTAGAAACGGTGAGAGGGTCAGAAATGTATCCCCCAAAGCAAAAGAAACGATACGCCCCGATAAAAAAATGAAATTGTGACCTTATTTTCGTAACAATTATTAGATTCTTTGGATTTCGAACAATTTCACGTTCGTGTCGTACCAAATAGGCGGGTCCGTGTTTCTGAAAAAAGCAGTCGATTTCAAGAATTACAACAATGTCAGAAGTGACAATTTGAAATTTGAAGATCTTACCTCAAGTAAATTATACCCCAAATATAAGTTCTGAACCAATTAGTAGTGCCGGCGTTAGCTTGATATTTCCTTATCAAAATCGGATGTGGTACAGGAAGCAAACCGACTAGAGTCCCATGTTGCAAAAATCTCAAGATTTCGCTTTCATCCGTCAGACCCCTGAAAAAGAAAACCGAATAACAAAAAGTTTAGAGATCACAGCATTTTTCCTCACTTATCGATGCAGATTTTCTCGACTTGTGGTACAAGAACTTGCAGGAGCCTCATGATCGTTTGTAACGGTAATTTCTGCTTCCACGAAGACACCCAAGCTTGTGAGGGCACCCATTCACTTCTTTTCCCGGAGGATGATGATGACCCTGCTCTCGACAACGGATTCCGGAATTCACGTGAATTCGCTACTTCAGGTCTAGTTCCTTTCGTGCTGAACACAAAAAGATCGCCATCGTTTTTATGAATGGAACAGATGCGCAAGAACTGTATCGGACTACAGATGGTTAGAAACTTTCGCTTTCGACAACTAATCATTCGTGAGATGCTCTTTTGATGTAAACTCCAATCAAATACAGTACTGAAGGAAATCTAACCTTTCGGCTGGCGTTTCGGTATTTTCTGCCGAAATTTCCAGTTTCCACTGAGATACAGGTTGAATAGCTGATCCGGACGGTGTTGAAAACTCCGTTTCGGGGTCTAACAAAGTCGGATCTTGTTTAGATGTGGAATCTAGCGTGTCCACCAAATCATTTGACATTGACAGCCTCGTCAAGTCCCGCAAAGTTTCATCTGAAGGATGCGCACTTTCCTGCTCCGTCATTTTTTCTATCTCTATAGAAAGAAAGCGATCAATAAGTGTGATTGCATTTAATTTTTGGATTCAGGCTTTCAATGCAGTCAGTTACATAACACCCATGAAAAAAAAAAAAACAATTGTTGACCATATTTCCGCGCTTATCATATTTCAGTGAAATTTTTGAATTCAATTATTCCCGATAACAACTCCATCTGAAAATTTTACAGAGGACGAATAGTTCACATCACTTTAGTTTTGCGGGGAGCATTGCTACTCGAATGCAATATTCTTTAAATTTCGACACGTTTTCCGGACAATTTTCTGTTGTGTTTTTGGATTTGAAACGGCAAAAATTTCAAAGCAACTGACTTGAACCTTTTAAGAGTAAATACTGTTCTCTATCGTTCGTAGGGCCGAACATATTTTGTGAAAATTGATCCAAAAATTCGGAGCTACCCTTTACATAGATCTTTTGCATACCGAATCAGCCGCATATGCGTGTGTTTTTTGGTTCTATGATAATTACAAGTATTATTCGAGAATTTATTTTCGCTAAATTTCGAGCATCAAGACGTACTGGGTGTAGCAGCCAGGGATGCTTTCAAAGTCCCAGGCTCTGCCGGTAACGCGGGTTTGCTTCCTTCCATAGGTGAAGGGGAAGCAGGACCATGGTCTTCATCTCCGTTCTCCACTCCAGTTGTAATCTTTACAGGAGGTGGAATTGGTTTCTGGCCCGGGATCACGCCGCTTGCTCTTTTTGCTCCCGCTGCGGCAAGCGTCTTTGAAATCGCGTGGATATCCGTTGGCAAATTTGCCAACTGATGAAATACAGTGCGTTTTCGGATGATCGTGTAAACGAGGTTTGAGTTACCTTCAAAAAAGCATTATTTTCAGGAATTTTATTTAAATGGAAAGGAAAGCGAAGAGGTAGATTAATGTGCACATTGAAGCGAATGTTATGAACAACACTTATGACCCAATCCTCGTGCAAAAATTTCCCTCGAATTATCTACAATGCTAATTTTCGAGCACCTCACACGCAAATGGAATGCAATAAAAGAGGCATGCAACTCACCATCAAACTGGTATTGAATAATGTTATTGAATATCTCTAGTAAGAAGAAAACTAGATGATGATGATTGGGCGCTGCGAATAGGAACCACGGAGTGGAAAAGGCCTCCAACAGATGCAATAATTTCGTGCTCGCAACCATCGACATGGTTTTCAAGTAAGGCGAAACTGAAATAATTGTAAAAGCACCATTCAGACATAAAACGGGACAATGTTGACAACAATACGATTCTCGTACCATTGACTAAAATTGTCAACAAACAATCAAACAGCGGCTGCAGTCTCTGATGTCCAGTGGTAATGATTTTGTGGAAGACGATAACGAGGAGATCGGCATGAGTGCCCGTGAAGACGGGAACGTCCATCGGCACCGATGCAGAAAAAGGCTTGTTCAATCGAACACCAAAGTTTCTTTCTCCACTCAGCAGGAGCAAGATGAAGACTCCAATGTGCATCAGGCCTACTCTCGCTGAAATGAGAGACAAACATATTCAATACATGATAGTCTTTGGAAGTTGATCAACCGAGAAAAATGAATCGTCCAAAAAGTCGATCTGAATAGACCAGGAGAGCTTTGTTCAAGTCGCGATGTCTTCAAGCACATTTTCGCTGTAAATTAGTATGTACATTTTTTAACCTTGATTTTCCTTTGAACTGAGACACGATTAATTATGGTATTTGGGTTTAATTATAGTTATAGAGAACTAGTAAGATTTGTACGACCAGCATGTCAGCAATACGTCCACGCATTCCACCCAAAATCGATAAATTAAACTCAGAAACTTGAAGCACGAAGAACAGTAGATTTAAACTTGTGCCAAAAATATTCGCCACATGATCTCACCTTGATCAGCTCTTGAATCATTCAAGTGATACAAAATAGGGACCAAAATATCGAGCACTTCGCTGCTTTTGAGCACGTAGAACATGAATTTCTAAAACCACAAGAAAAATCATAGTCATCATCTGTCACACAATATTTCAGGAGGGCGAAAGAACCTTGTTGTATTCGCAGAACTTCCAAAACAAGACCATGAGTTCCTGATGGAAGTGAACTTTCTTCGCAGAATTAGGCAGATACGTTTGTTGCAGAGGATTGTTCAACAATCTGGTGAATCCATGCAGAATGAAGGCAAAATCCTCATCTCGGTGAATCCTGCTCAAGTAGTTGATGAATAAGTTGTCCGGCGAAGAAATTTTCTCCTAAAAACCAATTTTCATAGAATTTATGGTACCGTACAGAACTAGAAAATTAGTAATACTGTAATTCATTATGGAAGGGGGGGGGGGGGGCAAGAGCATCAATTATCAACCTCATCAGCGTCTGTATCATCAGAAGCATCCTGATCCGTAGACCCAGAGCTCGAGTCGTGATCCAATACCACAACAAGAAGCTGAAGTGCAGTTTCCACCAGCGGCTCTCTCGAATCGCCAAATATTAAATGATTATACGGCACCATACTGGATCCGATACTGTTCGGGTTGTATCCGAAAACGATGTTGATGAGCGAAGCGAACAACGGAAGTGCATGTCTGTTCTCTGGAGAGGTGAAGTGCACAATCCACCTGTTCGGCTTCCATGATTTTTGATCTAAAAATTGGATAGTGGAATATTTCCGTGAACGCCATACGAAGCTGAAGTGTAATTTCATGTTTTGCAGTAGTGTAATCGCAACCACTTGAAAAAAATTTATTGATCTTTATAGAACCTCACCAACTTGCCACACATAAAAGGTTTAAATTTGCCGAATTTTGTGGAAAAAACTCTTTCCTGCCCAAAGCAGCAGCTCATCAATAAACATCATTCAACAGATGAAAAATATATTTTGTGATAAGAAAACGTAAATATACTCGATAAGAATCGAACCAAGAAAAAAATTACCGGAAGAAGAAGTGTACATAGTCTCGCCGAAGCAGGCAAGAAGTAACTTGAGTAGCTCCATTCGATTCGCGTCATGCTGACGATTCATGGGCGGAGTAGCTGCGAATCCGACACCAGGGGCCCAAATGTACTCGCAGCTATCAATGGAATGCAGGTCTTCATGTCGATCCTAAAATTATTTGTTAATTGAAAATTATAATATCCAAAAACAATCGGGCAATTGATCCGTACGTTGTTTCATGTACCGTAATTATTTTTGTTTACAGTACTTACAGGTCCAGATTTCTTGGACGATTGCACAGTGAAATCCGGACAGAAGAGCAGATCCTGCACGAAAAAAAAATTAAACCGCTGCTTTGAACATTACCGAAAGAAGAGTAAAATGTCAACAGACCGTCACAGCAGTAAGGAGACTGTATGCTAAAGCAGTTCCTTCAGCTGGTGGTTCACTGGCTGCACCGTTCTCATCTCGGGGAAGGTTCGACCAGAAGAACAAGCGCCACTCATCGTCTTCAAAAATGTACGGCAACAAACGTGTCAGCAATCTTGCACAGTTCAGCACTAGAGTAGAAAAGCGAAGAACGACATAATTTCAGCATTAAAAATGCGAACTTCGAGGTACATGTGGAGTACAGTATTTCGAGCTCCGCGACATGCATGACATTGAAAACTTGAAGATAAGTAACGGAGAACACTGAAATCCCCACCAATGGACCGAAAAAGTACTAAGTACAGTGGAATCCAAAAAAATGGACGCTTCACACCATAGAATTCTGAACAGACTCGGATTGCATCGGATAGTAGACCCACACTGGAATGCTCACATTGAAAAAAATGGTGTGAAAAATCGAAGATGCTATGGAAAATGGGGCTACCAGATTAATTTTTTTCTGATATTGTTCACGTAGAACAAGGTTTCCTTGTTTTTGATGTTGGTTCAGGACATTTCTGTTGAACGACTCTTCCAGGGTCGGTAACCTATCAAACATCTCTTATACAGTACGTTCGAAGTTTTAAATTACTCGACTGAAGAAATTTTTGGATTCCCCATAGGAAGAGGTTAAGCCCATGAAGTAAGGCACTAACAAAATTTCCCGTAAAGCTACTCCCTGACATCGGTTCAAGAAACCAGACCAAAATTATTTATCACAAACCACACAAAATCTAACACAATTCCGACGAAATCTACGCACAAATGAAGAAAACTGAAGTTGAAGCGTAACGGAGCATCAAATCCAACCAAACAAAAATCAAAATATTTCCAAAAGCGTGAACGAACCTATGTGTTGTTCTTCAGCAGTAGACAATGAAGAAGACTCAGCAGATCGCACTAGCTTCTCAACAGCTTTATAACATAAAGTTGCTAAATTCGACGGGATTTCTTCCCTTAGAGCCCGCACTTCTGGACCTGGTATCAAAGTGAACACATCGGACATGCATTGTATACTGCTCTCGCACCAGAACTGGTTCCAGAAATCTTCATCGCCAGGATCTACAGGCTGTCACGAGAAAACAAGACGTTTGATTCAGTCGCTTGGGTACAGAATCAATGACATACTCACTTGGGTTTTCGATGTCAGTTGAACAACAGCTTTTCTGAAATTTATCTTCGTCTCTGCATTTCCCATGGTAATGACACAATCAAAGCATCATAAAATTGCCTGTCATTTCGCAAAAAATAGTGACTCAAATGAAGAATGCGGTTGAAGAACACCGTAATATCAGTGAACCACAGTCCAATTCGAAGTTGTATTTTGCATCGCCCATTGGCTCACTAAACAGAAAAATTCTTTCGTAACCGATTAACAGAGAAGAGGGATTGCACCACTGCGAGACTAAAAACGCGAGGGCTTCGAAATTTTACAACTCGTCCAAAAACGGCACATTTGTTAGGTTCCCTACTGCTCCCATGCTCGCCTTTCCACTGGTTGCTTTCTTCAACAGCTGCAAATGGAATGTAAGATAAAATTATTGTACATGCATTTCCATTAAAATATTAAATTTGTTCAACTCAAGAATTTTCCCAGTTTAACTCACGTTGTTCACATCGCTGGTCGTAACCGAGTCGATCAGGGATTGTAAATCGGAGGCGGCATGAACTTTCTTGGTGACAATGGAAATCTCGCCAGTTAATTCCGTGAAACCAGCAGGAGAGTCGTTCATCGCCCAAATCGTGGACGAGAGCTGATTCTTGCCTCGCTTGACATCCGCGTCCGAAATCGACCCTTTCAGTGCCGACAACGCCGCCTTGAGAGCCTGAAAAACAAAATTACAGTATAACTTTGAATAAGGCGACAGTCGAACGAAGAATCGCAGTTAGAGAAAAAAATATGGAATGAAGGACGAAGAAAAATAAAACGGGGAGAAAATCTTTCACCTTTCCAGCATCACCGGCCCCAGTGCTGAGTACCAGTCCGATGAGTCCAGAATCCGAGTAGCTGGCGTTCAGTCCGGTAACTGCATAGGCATCAGTGACACCCTTAACTGCCTGTTGTAATGGGGCTGCTCCGTCGCCGTGAAGAACGTGCGGCCCAGTGCCGAGGGCCTGCTGTAACACTGCAGCTGTTATGGCCTTCTTCGGGTCATTCCAACCAGCCCCCTCATAGGCCACTGCAACTGAGGTGGACGAGCCTCCGGACTCGATACGAACTTCCCCACCGCCGTATTTACCAGATGACGCAACTCCGTCTCCGCCGGCCAGGGGCAAGGCGGAAGCGAAATCTTCGAGCAACGCGTGATCCACTCCGACCCCGACGACGGCCGCCCGCTTAGTCGTGAAGGTTTCCTCAAGAAACTGCGCCATCTGAAATTGCGTTTTGTAAATACAGTAAAATTTTGTTACGACTAACTTTTGGGGACTTGAAAAACAGTTTGTTATACTGTACTGAATAATTTATTACAACGAGATTCTAAGTTTTCAAAATTAATGGCTGGAAAACATTTTCACATCAGAGCTGCCTATAATTATAGGGTACTTTCCTGTTATCTCAGTACCCATTTTTCTTTGTCTCGTGAATTCAGTATTCGTGCAATGAAAAATTAGTTAATCACGTTAGTTGAAGAGAAAAGGAACTACATCACTACCATCCAGACAAATAACCCAACTAATAACCTAACCACCTCCCAAAATCAGTTTCTGCTTTCATTGGGTTTCTGCTGAAACTGATTTTGTTAATTGAAAGATAAACATAACCTGACCTAACCTAACTTTACCTAAGCACCTGCCAAAATCAGTTTCAGCAGAATGCGGAAAAATGAAATTCACAGTTTCTGGTAGGTGCACGGAAAGTAGGTAATGAGATAACAGGAAAGTACCAATTATAGTATCCCCTGTAATCCATTGCATCATTATATGGCATTAAGGATGATGAATGGAACGACTCGGAAGCAGGGTTGTCATTGATTCTTCCCGAGTCCAAAAATACACAAATACAGTAGTAGATATCCAATCAGTGATTTGAATTGATGACCGCTCAATTTTCTGTCCGATTTTATTTTTCTCGTGTCTTCCACTTGGCGAAATTAAATTTCTTTCGAAGATACCTTTTAAAACGCATCCTTACCGTGTTGGGGCAAAGATGTGAGATGTTGTGCGCAGGTGCGTAAATCGAATTCCCGAGCCCCTGTCCGCGATACGCAGCCTTATGCAGCAGCTCGAGGACGGCGACTTCATTCGAGTAGCACGCTGAAGCCAGTTCCACGCGAAGCCTCGGCAGGTTGTCAGACAATTCCCAGGGCTTCAATCCAGGATTGACGGAAGCCTCGCTCAAGTACTTCATCGCCGTCGGAAGGTAGTCCTTGACGCAAGAAACGTCGTAAATGAGGTATTCTCGGGATCCAGTGCACGTCAAAGAGGCGCCGATCTGGTTCAGATTGCGTACAATCGAGATCTGCGACGCGCTCTTGGAGCCCAGCCCAGCAATGATGCGGCACATGTGGCTAGCACCCACGGATTTCGGTTTTTCGTAGCGGGAGCCGGCTCTACAAAAAAATGGAAAAGGTAACGAATTTAGGAATCATTACTGTGACGTCCCAAATACTGTAGTCTTCATCTTCGAAATCTTGAGTTACTTAAACCATCGAAATGGTTGAATCGGCCAACTGCAGCCGCAGGACTTCAATGCACATAAACGATATGAACAGTATAACGAAAAAATTTCATTGGTGCCAATAATTTTTTCTTTCTCTGCCGGGGTTCAGTTTTAGGTAACATACTATGTTAAGTGAACTGAAACTCCAGCTTTTCAGCCATCATGTCATCTGCTAAGCAAGTAATTTCGGACAAATTATAAGATTTCACGGAACGAATCGAAGAACAGAACTTCATTATTTCTTTACCAAGATAAAATAATGCATTCATTTTGGACCATCTGTAATTTGAAACGAACTTCGGTGATCTTGAATAGGCGTATTCTTAATGTTGTTAGATCGATACGTATAGCAAATTCACAGAACTTATTCCGCAGTTTCAAGCGGTTTTTTTTTCAGAATTGAGCAAGACTTTATAACTAAGGATACTTATTCGGGCTCGAGTGGACAAGGCGCAAACAAACCTTTCCTTGACGAGGGATTAGATACTGGGAATCTCAGGACTTTCAAATTCCCCAGAACTATCTCGAGAAGTCAATTTGCAGAAGACAATGAGTTATTTACATCGTGATTCACGACCAGTATTCCCAGTATGTGGGATAATGTCCCCTGATTTGCCTGACCCCGATAAAAAATAAACTCAAGTAACCAACATACCTCAACAGGAAATAAATAAAAATACATATCAGGGGCAAAATCATCAACGCAACAAAAAAGATCATGGGAGTCTTGAACGTAAAAATTTAAGAGAAGGAGAAAAATGGGTGAACGTCTTTGCTTAAAAATTCAAACACATACCTGATGGCAATGCTGACTCGGGAGATTGGGCTCAGACATTCCGTAGAGGCGACGATAACTCCAGAAGGGGTAGTAGAAGATTTTACCTCTCGCGAAATCTGAGGGGCTGAGGCAGCCTTGGGTTTAGCTGCTGCTGCAGCACTGAACATGCGCTGCAAAACCCACATCCGTACAATTTAGTCCGCCAATTTTTTCAATCAGTTATTAAATGTTGGAATACTCACTGCAGTCGGGCGGAGAATCGGAACGTTCAAAGCCATGACTTCGAAGAGACGAGAGAAATTTCACAACAATAAAAAGAAAACAGGATTTTCTTAGGGACCGCGCGAACAGCCTGTAAATTTGAAACATACTGTATATGTCTGATTTCAACTTCTCGTGAAGCCAAATTTAAAACACAGGGCGCGACAGTTCGAATGAATCAACTGCTACATGCGTTTCGACAGACAAATCGACAGTTCAACACCAACAAGTCGAAAAGGATTCACACGAATCCTGGCGTATCACTAGAAACACTGAAGCAGGAAAAAACCGAAATACAAGGCTGGGAAAAAATAAAATTTTTAAGCATCACGTGGACGGGTCACCATACTAACATGGAATCTCTTGAGCAAGTGAAAAAAAAAATCCCAATCGGAATTGCGGGACCCATAAATCGAAAGTCTTTTGATGCACGCAAAGCGGTCAGATTAATAAACCGAATGAGCAAATCCACAAACTTTCGGATCATTAACTCACCCCAATGATAATCTTTCGAGTCCTTTCAAAAATTATTCCCTTTCACAAAAGTAAACCTGCTCACACTAGTGAAACCACGGCGACATTCCTAAAAATAGGTTTTAAAATATTCTAATTTTCTCCTTTAGAATTGATCATATCTCGTATTCCCGAGCATTCCAAATCAACAATACAGCCTATGTTATTCCTTGTAACGATTAAGCCCCCCCTCAAAAATCAAATCTTACGAAATGGCATCCATCAAGCATGTGTTACCATCCAGAAAATTTCTCGGACCAAGGAATGTTTTTTACCCCGAAAAATAATCGATTTTACTTCCTTGCATTTTTGATCAACGACTTATGTTCATTCATTCGCCTTAATAAAGGAGATTCAATCGGACAGTATTTGAAAAAAAATCCGTAAATGAGAAGCTCGCGTAATCACGGATTTCTCATAAATAAAACTGATCTGTCATAAATTAAAAATTACACAGAGATACAGCCCTACTAAGTATTTCACAGGAACGGGAAATTAATTTGAAGAAATTGCTCATTCCGAAAATTTTCTTCGGCCATTTCGCATTAAGAAACTTGCTCCCAAGCATGCATTGCATTAAGATAAGCAGGAATGCGAGGTGTAGCCCTTTCACCCAGACCCCTTTTTGCTACGCGCCATTTCTCCTGAAAGCACAATGACGTCATGGACTAGCATCGGATAAAAATAAGATTTCAGCGGTCATAAAATTTGATACGATAAAAAACCTCCCACCTGACTTTTCAAAGGGGGAGACAATGATCTTTCCGGAATATCTTTTCTTTTCCGTATAACACAAAATTTCTCCAACCCATCACGGAAGGACAATTGCGCATCGAGGGAAATAAAAATACCGTCCTTTGGAGTTCGGACGCTCACACTAATGAAATTCGGGCTAGGAAACGCAATTGTTTTCCTTTTGACTGCAAAATCAAGGGTCTGGGGCTTTGGAAACAAAAAAAGCTTGCTGGCTTTCACGGTCAGTAAACGTTGATTTTTCGGGTGATCAGGGCACGACACATGTGACAGGTGGACAGCGTAGCCGAACAAGTGACGCACGCACCGTGCCCGCAAATGAACACCACGTTTTTCCGCCGTTCCATACAGATTGAACAGGTTTGGACCTCTTCCATCTCAGCTATCCGCTCTTCTAATTCTCGCAGACGACTCGTTATCACTTGACCATGTTCGCCGCTTTCCGAGGCGACGGCATCCACATACTTTTGAGTGTTCATGCCATTGAACCTGTGATTGAAATTTAAAAATTAATATCTCAATCCAGAAACTTTAATTTTCGACCGAGGTGGCTCGGAATGGAGCTTAGACAAAAAACTGCTAAAAATTTCAAATTTCCGACGAGGCCTATAGCAAAAACCACGTCACAACTATAGTTCAGGATGAACAAAAATCCCGTGTGATATAAACACAGGTTGAATCAGAGACAAATTGAGCAGGGAAAATTCCTAGCATGAACTAACAGCATTTAAAAAAAAAACCTGCAAAATTCAAAATAACTACGTATATTTTTGATGCCATTCCAGATGTTTCAGAGGCGGAACCAAAAAAGTTTGGATATTTTAAGCTGATAAAAAAAATATTACGAAACCAAACCGCTTCACTAAGGTGAAGATTCTGAACCTGATTTCCTTCCTTTTTAAGTTCATGCAAGAAAAAACAGAATCTCACTTGAAAAAACACAAACAGAAATGTTAATTTTCGAATCAGAACAAATGAACAAATTTGGAGAACGAAAAATACAAATAAAATCTTAATTTGAAAATTATTCGCCCATACTTCATGTAAAATGCTTAGTTAATAAAAACATCTCAAGATTTACGCAGACTGTTTCAAAACATGAAGTCATTATTTTGAACTCCAATCCCTCTTATGTTACGGTCGGATACGACGGATACTCTGAAATTATCCAGAAGCTAAAAATACTATAATCTTCATGATTTATTACAGCATACGTCACAATGTGAAGTTCGTGAATTTAATATACATAAAGTCAGGACTCACTGATGTCGAAATGGTCGATCATTCTCCTTCCCCGGAGCACCGCAGTTCACCGGTCGACCATCAGCACCAAGCTTCCCATCAATTTTCAAACCACACTTTAAACACTTCTTCATCTTGATCCCACAGTCAAAGCACGCAATCGCATGCCCACACGCCAGGAAAGTCAGCGCAGGCGGCTCCTCGCAACACACTATGCACTCTGCCAAGTCGGCAACCAACATCGTCGCCACTTCCGGGGCCGCCTCTTCCACCCTAGATTCCGAATCGTCTTCGCTTCCCGGGTTAGAAGCCGCGCGTTGGTACGACAACAAAAGATTCTTCCATGACTCGTTCGGCACAATGTCCGTCGAGCACTTTGCGCTGTGATTAGCCAGTGTTAAAGAGGCGCCTCGCGACGCCAACAGACAGGCAACCGCAAACGCGTTCAAAGCTTCTAGAGAAGCGGAATCCGTTGGAACGTCTTCAGACACTTGCTGTAGTATCTGAAAACAAACGAAACCATTCATTTATTACCAGGTAAGCTTCCAGAAGCTTACCAGAATCGGCTAAGACTAAAATAGACCGCTAGAAATTATGCTCATTAGCCTCGATTTGAATGAATAACACGCGAATGACAATAGCTTGGCACAAATTGAATGTAACCTAGGGAAAGATAAACTAACCACACATACCCTTCAGGAAATACGAAGAAATTCGACACTATTGTCGGCGAACATAAAATTTACAAATGTCCGCCCATTCGTTAAAAGAAAAGTTTTGAACATTCATTTGGAACTGATAATTGTAAAATGCTCTATTTTGTAATACCGTATTAACTCAAATACCACACGCACCTTTTTTTCAAAATTGACTAGAAAAGGGGGTGTGCGTTATGAAGGCGGGTATAAATTGTTTTCGAAGTTCTCGGAGTGCGCGCTATCCAGTATTTGATACAAATGGGACATTTCGGACCAATTTCAACAGAAAAACTTGACGAAAATAATTAAAGACTAAATGACTTCAGGATCAATTCATGTCTTAATTCAAATGTTGGTGTTCTTATTTCTAAAATATTGCAGTTTTAGAGTCTTTACAAATGGGGTTCGCGTCTTCCTTGAAAGCGCGTGGTACTCGAGTAAATACGGTATTTATTCGAAAGATCACTTCGATAAACATTATTATTAGAAAAAATAAGATTTTAACCCGAAAATTTCGTGTGCGCGCCCAACGTGGGGATAAATATGTTTCGCAAATTCCACACCAAAACAAAGAAGTTTGCTCTCGAGGGCTCGTGGTACCCAAGTGAGTATGGGTATTTATGTCTAGGATTGACTTACCTCCATGAAAGTGAGATTGGCGACAGGTGCGTTTTCAGGAGGACACGCCGGGGCCCGACAAGCAGGATTAAAACCGATGATGCTTCCCGCGAGGGCCAGGTGAATGGCGGTGTCGCCTCCGTCGTCATCGACGGCATTCAGCAGACTTACATCGCCGCCCGAGGCACTCGCCAGGAATTCCACCAAATTTCCGTGTCGCTGTCCGGAAGCCAAGTGGAGCGCAGTTTGGCCGCGATTCGTGCGTGCGTCCAGGCGACACCGGCCGAGGCTGACTAGGGACCTGGCCACGGATAAGTGGCCATTTAACGCGGCCAGATGCAGCGCCGTGAATCCGTCATCCTTCCGCGCATCGACTAGCTGGCGAGAACATTCCAGGATTTTTTCCACAGCACTGCGAAGAAACATTCAAAGGGTTTTCGAAGCGATCCGATTTGGGATAGTATTTCGGAGTAAACTCAACCGCGGGTAAAATTCTTAGAATTAGCAAGTTTGGTCGATAATACGCTTCCTTATATACCAAAAAACAGCTGCTCATAATCGGAAAGAAACAACATGTACATGCAGTCCTTCTCCATGCGACCTGAGATCCCGAATCCCAAATTGTACACGGCGGAACTATTTTAGGAAGACGCAAAATAATCCAACATGCCTAAATAAGCATTATTACTTAGAGCAGTGTTCCTCAACCTTTTCAGGGCCCACGTACCGATGAATTTCCTCTTTTTACGGACTGCCACTGTCTTTCTGAAATTTCAGCTGAAGATAACAGACTTCATTATTAATTTTGATGAATACGCAGAAGAAAATTGTCCGCAGACAGGCAAAAAAACTTCTGCACGGTTTGCAGGTCAGTGATCTAGAAAAACGTGTACAGGCTACCGCTACAAAAAATAAAATAACCGAGAGGATAGCTGCGAAAAGCGAAAAAATTCAAAATGTCAAGGTTTTCACCTGTTGTTTCCATCACGCGCCGCCAGATGCAAAGGATTGAAACCACGCATATTTTTAACACTCAGATCACAACCCGGAACTGCTATCAACAGGCCCAGGATATCCGCACTTCGCTTGCTCACTGCATCGTGCAAAGCGGTATCCCCGTAAGAGTCCCGCATATTCACGTCGGCTCCACTCCGCAGTAAGACCCGCACGCACGCCGAAAACTGTTTGTTGACGGCAACGTGCAAAGCGGTGCATTGAGCATTATTGACCGCGATCACATTCGCATCTCCCATCGTGAGAAGAAGGTCGATCACTTCCGGCTGATTCCCGAAGGCTGCGTAATGCAACGCCGTGTCCCCTTCATCATCAGCTACATTCGCCGCTCTAGCGGAAGAGCCGAGGAGAAGGCGAACAACTTCTACGTGTCCTTGATGACTGGCGACCTTTCGTGGAAGAAAATGTTAGGATTATTTCTAAGGAAAACTTTCTGAAGGCTACTTTCACTCTGGAGGTCTAGGAATGACCTTGGAAGTTCACGGTTTCTCGCAATTTAAAATGTTGTAACATTTTTGGGGATGTCCTTTTTATGGACTTCTCCATACTTTTCCTTACACAGTACAAGTAAAGGGCACTTCAACTCGCTAGAGATGGGAAATCATTTACAATTTTTAAAAATTTTCACGAATACCGTATTTGCAATTTTTTTTTACAATTTTAGAAGCTCAACGACTAGTTGATGTTTACACTACTGTATTCGCATATTTGTGCTATTTCCGTAAATATAAGCACCCATTTTACAATGTCAATCACACGAGCAACAACATAAATGGAAATATTTCGTCTTTAGAAATACAGTAATATCTAAACGTTATTTTTTTTAGTTGAGCATTCAATACTGTAATACGACATCGAAGTTAACTACGCTGATGAAGAATGTCTTGAATAATGTAGATGTCCTTTTTTTACCTTTTATTGACACAGTTAATCCTTATCTGGGGAAACCTGAATTTAGAAATTTTAGGTTCTTGAAGGTCAAAAAACAAGGGAAGTAAGTGGTTGCTCATTGATGGAATTTCAATTTTGTGCGGATATCTAGGGGGAGGGGGATGGTGCTTATATTCTCGTAAATACAACACTTGGATTTTGAAAAAAAAAAAATAAATTGAAAAATTTACCTGTAGTGCAGTTTTCCCGCTCACGCGACTATTGACCAATTCAGGACACCTTGCCAAAACTTCTCGTAAACTCGCAACGTCCCCTTCAGCGGCAGCTCGCATAGCACGTTCAGCAGCTGATGAGCCAGTGGAATAACTCGCAACGGAAGGCAATGGATCTATACAAAAAATGGCATACAGTATTGAAAACTATTCTCATTGTGATACAGTATGGAAATCACGAGTTCGCTTGAAAAGAGTATGTCTAGAAAACCCAGATGAAGCTAGCTAAGATACTGATATACACTCATGGTGGCAGGACACGGTTCATGCGTTAGTGCTGAACTAAGCTTACAAAAACACGAATAATCTAGAAATGTTTGAATGACACTTGCGTCACGGATGACGGAACAAGAGAAAAGAGATCTGAATTTTCTGTAAACAAATTCTCAACAAGTATTGCGATGCCACCGAGTAAATTTTTGCTCTTTTAAGGACATATCCCAATACGAATCATTCACCAGTAATCCAACAGACATTAGCGAGATAAGGACCATTTTCCTGAGGATACCATCAATTTTCCACCTCATCTATTCAAATTTATACCTAATAGTCCCGAGGATAGCTACAGTACTTTTTCCCCAGGATCATACCCTTCTACTGAGTTGTTCGACCTGTCTCAAACATAATGCGCTCCAAACTTTTGGAATACTGTATTCCTATTATTATGGGTACAGTAGCGTTTGGTTTACCCCGCATAAAAAAATCACTTACTGCGATGTTGCATGTGTTCAGATTCGACTCCTATCACCGAACTCTGTGACGCAGGCGGATCTTCGCCAGCACCAACAGCGATCAACGATGGCATCGAATTGGAAATGTCCACGGAAGAGCCGGGAACAAGCGTAACACACGCTGGATTCAGAGTCCAAGTAGCGCCATCTACACAGACACGCAAGTCCCGATCAGGGTAAACCTTTTGAACGCGACCAATTTTGCCCAAAGCTTCTCGCATAGATTCATTCCATTCGCCATGTCCTCGTTGCAGTTCCATGGCGAGACTCCGATCCGTGATCACCCGCACAACGTCATTCACAGCGAATTCGTGCGGGGCTTGGGTCAGAGCCAAGGGATGGAACGTCCATTTCAACCCAGCTAAAAATTGGACGCGAACGTCTCCCCTGTCCGTGTTTCTGTGAACTACACCCGTCTTGCCAGCGACATCTGCCATTTTAGGATTCCAACCCCCGTGACCCTCCGCTAAGGCTTTCAACTGATTCACGTCGCGTATGACTGTCACCTGCGGAAAAAAACAAAAGAAGGAAAAACGAGATACCGGTATTATACATTGTGCCTAGGTGGCGTAGGTAAAACAAATGCACGGCACTAGACTTGTTGCTCAGATACATACTTCCTACCGCTTCCCTTCACATAAACTTTTGTTTCAACCAACAAATATGCTTCAAGTCTTCAGAACATCGCCAGCTAAAACTGTAGAGTGTGTAGACGAACAGGGGACCAAATATTTTTATTTTCTGAAGTTTTCAGACCTTTCCAGTACCTAAACTAGTCAAACTAGCTACTGAACCGAATTAGTTCGACTTCGTGAAATAATGACAATTACGCGATTATCGAACATCGTATTGCCGCTCATCATCGACGGTGAGAGTGCATCAGAAAAACCAATTTTCTTTCTGTAAGGACATTTACACAGCTGGTCATTGCAAGCATTTCCACATAAGTGCAGAGTAATGTGAAAATTCATTCAAACAAAGTTCAACTTTACCAGCAAATGTTCATTTGGGTTTTAAGCAGTTTTCGACTTTCTCTTGCTCCCTCTACTTCGAAGCAAGTTTTGTTTAAATCATAAGTAGTTAAAAATTCAATAAAACGATTGCACACTTATCAGAGAACACTTTTCAAAAAATTCCGAACTTCAACTTTTGAGGGGCAAAAAAAAAATCCATGTCATTATTCACATTCCTGGGCGATTTATGAAAGGAACTGATCGCGATCAACCGACCGCGTCTTCAGCAAGACATAATACTTCAAAGGTTTGAGAAGACCAAGAAATACCGCACGAGTACTATAGAACGAATGCGAGTTTTGTGGTACAGATACGCTGCAGTAATATGTGCTTTCAAAGTGAAACTTTTCAAATACTGTACTCGAAGAAAGTCTAAGAACTCATGACGTCCAATGAAACGTTAGAATTTTACCAAGAAGTTAGTTAAGAGAACACTGAAAGAAAAACGAACATTACCTTTTCTCCTACGATGAACCTTGTCGTGGATTCTATCGGGACTGGAGGCGACTGCGGCGAGGTAACTGTTACTGCGGCCGGTGCGGCTGATGCAGGGACGATTCGCGCTTGTGAAGAAACTGCGATGGTGGATGGGAAACCGGAAACAACGCAAGACCCGAGCACTGGAAGGTGATCTGGATAATAGAATCCGTTCTTTGCGCCTGTTACAGTTGTCAGGTCCACTTTTCCCTTGTGTCCGACGCGGTAGACATTTGTAATGCCGGAAGCCCAGATTACATTTGCTACTGAACGACCGGACTCTCCATCCCAGCCACGAATATCCAACACGCGGCCGACTTTCCCTTTGCCTCCGTCTTGGTTACCCCAATCCCAATCGGGCCCCCGCTGAACACGAGCGCCAACAAAAATCCCTTGCATAACTACTCGTGTAGCTCCTAATAATAATCAGTTGATAAGAAAACTCAAGAAATACCACACACGACAAGCACATACCTGGCTGGCTGCTCCTTCCACCTGCTCCCCCCAATCTCCTGGGGCCAACTTCGATTGGCCGAGAACCAGGGACATCTTGTCGTGAAAATGCATGCTTTGGATCGTGCTTATCGGCCATATAGCAAGGTGTGCATAGATCATAGTCGTCACAGACTATGCAACGCCATCGGAATCCTAGGACGCCGCGGGTTTTGCATGCGTCGCAGACGATGTTACCGTGCCTAACCCCAACAGTAGCGTTGTCGACAACACGAAGATCGTAAGCATCTTGATAGCCGACTCTGTAGTTCGTTTTGGTCCCTCCGTCCCATCGCACAATCACGGTGTCGCTAGGAGAACTGGCTCCACTGCGTCCGATCTCGACGACTGTTCCTACACAACCTTCGCCACCGTCTTGATCACCCCATTTCCAGTCTGGTCCTCGAACAACGCGCAATCCAACTTCAGCTGGAATCATGTCTTTCAATTGGGCGATTTAAGAGTTTGAAAAACACACAATCTATACCAAACGACATCAACATTTGCATTCACTCGCGGACCTGTAGGACAGTATGAAATACAGTACATGAAGTCGACACCCTGTTTACATGGGCGAAGCAGAATCTCAGAAATCGACACAGTAAGAGATCACACCGGCGCTAACTACACATTGAAGTTACTGTATATCGGAAGATCCTAGCAACTGGAACAGATGGCATTATTCATCACCAAAAGCGGGCACCACGGAGGGCTAGCAATCCAATTGAAAGGAAGTTCCGCTGGCACGAAAGCTTTCCGCGTTCTCCCCGAGCGTACAGTTCTCACATAGTAGGACAATCTCACATTCACATGATCAGTACTCTACTGCGTTTCGCCAGAAATCCTGCGAACATAACAGCTGCATCACATGCTTGTTAGGTCAACTCAATGAACGGAAGTTATCACGGGCACCCAAACATTACTGGAGTTTCCAGCAGTAGACACTTGCACAACTCATATAGATGTCCCATAGAAATTTTGTTTAATCACTGATACAATCAGGAAAATGAAATACAATTGGTCTTTGACGATCAGCACAATGATTATATCCTGTCCATGACAACATCAATCACACAACCACAACATACTGTAATTCATTTATCTGAATTCTGAAGGCATATATAAACCTCATCCTTAACCATCTTCTAGCTTTTCTATATCTAATGAATGAAGAGGAGTTCCCAACCCGCATTGCATCTGCTGAATATAAAATAAATTTATTTATAGTTAGACCTATCTAAGTTGAATTTGAAGGGGCCAACAAAACTTCAACTTGCTTATAGAGGAGATGAGGTTTTGAGTTAGGGAGAAAGGTGAGATAAATCTTTGGGTTGGCAATGCTGGATAAGACGAAAACAGCAAGAAAAAAACCTTTTACTGCAGAAGTTTTTGACTTGGAAAGGTTCGAGAGTTGAAGAGGTACAGTACAACTATATACAGTACATCAATCCCTTCGGACATTCTGATATTGCGGCAGTCATACTTCTACACATGCAGGGTTTTATGCATTATTTTAGCTTTTGAGCTTGAAAAATGTAGTCTTTCAAAACAAATGCATCATTAAAGCGCAGAGGAATATACATGTTCGTATTCAGAGTACTGATGCAGCATAATGTGGAAGTGATTTTGAAAAACCTCTGATTTTCTTCTGTGTACTAAGTGAGCAGAGCGAGCTAACTATTTTTCAGCCTTTAAAATAATTAGAATTATAAAATGAGTTCCCGAATTTTCAACATCGTGTCAGTAATCAAGTGACTTTTATAAGAAACGACTCATAGAATGCGGTATTGTGGATCAAACTTTATTCTTTTGACCATTCTCGGTCAGATGTCGTTAATCATCATGTTGGTTCGCTTCACGCGCGACTGTGACGCAGAATTTCGAAGATTATTGTACATTCCAATAACGTACTGTGCTAATGCTTCTCATCGTTATATTTTCTCCACAAAACGATCACTGTTCAAAGATACCTGAATTAATTTAGAAGCGTGAAAGTGGAAGAACCGAAACCTATGTAGAACTATACCAGTGAGCTAAAGTGTGAAGAAAAAATTAAAACCCGACATGGTTTTTTCCTCCTGTATATTAGCTGATACTGAGAGAATGCACACACAACCAAAGCAGGCGTAATTCTAAAAAACCGAAAATAATTCCGTGATTTCGCGACGTCATTTCCTCCAAAACCATCCGGGAAAGTAACCGTTCTCTTTCTTCAGAAATATTTCTCTCCTCCATCTCGTTCCGTTAATAGTAGGATAAAATAAGGAAAGATATAAAAGGCCTGCGCATTATCTTTAATCTCTTCCGTTGTTCTCCTCAGTGCTGTGCGCTGGAAGCTGGAAATTTCTTCTGCTTCCCTCTACCCCCCTCTTCTCCTTTTTTGATCTGTTTCTCGACTCCTGTATCGTCGGTGTTCCTTGTTTCTCTTTCGTTTTCTGTGTAATAAGTATTTTCTTTCGCGGTTCGCTGATTTTTTACCTTTTCCCGCGGCTTTACGGCGGCCGATCTCTTCGTCGCGGCTCAGCTGCTTTGGGGTGAGTGAGTTTTGCTTCCTTCAGCAGTTATGTACGTAGAGTGACTTACGTAGAGGCTCAAAACAACAAGAATTTCCTCGACGTACTTTATACAGACATAAAATGGCTTACGCAATCAATTCCAGTATAGTTGCACACGAAACATAATTCGATAAAAATTAAATATCGAATTCTAGTTGTAACTTCCGAACTTGAAGTTTATTAAGTTTAGTAACTATATTTATTTAGTTACTTGGTTATTAATTTATAGTTTTTTGGTAGGCAAAAAACCGTAGCATCATCCCTTCCAATGACTTCTGAAGAGCATCCTTTTGCACCTTGGAACATTGCAAGGATAATGCCGAAACATTTTCCATTCCTTGAATTTTTAGGAACAGTTTCTTCTTGAAATTCAAGCATTTTTTGTTTATAACTCGCAAAAGGTCCTCCAGTTTATTTTTGAGGGCTTTGTAAATATTTTGCTTTTACGTTGGGACTTTTTACATGCACTAAAACCATTAAATAAAGTTTTTCAAGAAAAAATTTCAACGTGTTTAATCAACTTACTCTATAAAAAATATTGTTTTCTTTTATCGATAAGTAGTGCTTTTCTGGGTTTAACGCCTTTTAGTAAATAACGCATTACAAGAAATGCCGTAAGGTCTTCCAATGAATGGCGTCTTTCAATATATATTTTCTTTAAAGTGTTTTGGTAATTGAAGTGTTTCGGCAATGAACGAGTTTCGATAATTATAACGTGGTTCGATAGTTAAGATGTTTTGAAAAATAACGGCGGGTTTCGACTAATTCCGTGCGGTGTTTTAGTGATGAGAATGTCTTGATAATGAAAGGAAAGTATGGAACATTATTCCATTTTGTGCCTATTCCTTCCTACCCCAATAACATCCCTGAACATGAAGTCGCTCAATGATTCCCACTAAAGTACTGTGCAGACTGGCGGGGTAAACGGCAGCCAGTCAGTCACCAACCAAAGCTTGGCGCAAATGGTTGTTCCCCTCAAAGAATTCTGCTCCCTCTCGCACATTTCCCCTCTGAAATTTCTGTCCTGTATCGTATACTTGAGGTGCTTTTGCGAAACATAACATGAATCCTGCTTTCAACCATGAAATTCGTCCTAGCTCTGAGAGTAATAATGAGTGGCTTTTTTTCGGTTTGATCATTGTCATATTTTGTCCCTCTGATATTTTCCCCAGAAGAAAAAGCTCCCTAATACTCCGTCTCCGTCGCACCGGGAAGCAAGAAATCGTCTGTGATCTTCCAGTTTTTAAACACCGATCTTGTCAACCATGGTGAGTTGTTCTAACACTTATACAGCATCGAAATTTCCCCCAGAAATAATTAATATTCCCGTCAACATTTTTCTATCGACATCGATAAGTTGAGAAAATCTCCCTGTCGCTCGGTGAAGGATTGGATGGAATAGTTCATTCGTTGTTCAGATATTTCCGTTCTCATTTTGAAAATGTTTCCTTAGTTCAGTATATACAGTATATATGTATAAGATCTTAAATATTACAAGTGACTTAAGTTACATGACCTCATTTAATATACCATAAAATAAAGCTGGACGATTTACGAAGCCAGTGAGGAACTCCTTTCGGAGGCGTTAAAATGGCGATCTTGAATTTGGTAAATGTCGCCATGCAAACTTTTTTCGTCATTGCGGTGATCCGAAAAAATGAGATTGAATAATTTCTGAGCAGTCCGCATGTATATTTCACACACAAACCAGGATCTGACAAGAAAACACGCGAGGTTATTTTCGAGCGCAATTTCTTCAAGATTCGAAACCTATACCGGTCCAGACAAATGTCTTCTTCAAAAAAAACGACAGAAAAAACTATCATTCAGTCGCTGGCCCATGATTTAAGCATTAAATCCGGAAGGCAGAATTATTTCACTTGACGGCGGATTGCCGGAAAATATTCACTTTCGCACGCGTTCAAACGAAGGAAAATATTGAATGTCTTCGAAGATTGAATGTGATACAGGTTTGTGTAATTTTCAAGTATCCGAAAAGAGAGAACTCAACCTTCCCCATCCTAAAAAAATGTTCTCACCCTCATTCAGCCTCCATATTCATCAAGATCCTGCTGCCATCATAAAAGATAAATTAACTAGAGCAAAATCTCGTTACAACAAAGCTTGAAGTGGTGAAAAATTGCCCACAACGAAATCGTTTTTCACGTTTCTAACCAATCAGACACAATGCTGTATTATTGTTTGAAGTAATTTATAGCAGATTATTTGTTGAACGAAGCTTTCTTTCTGGTCTCAATGTCTTTGTTCCAACGTCTATTTTACTGCACTTTTCAAATCCCCGATATATTTCCATTTAGTCAATGGAAAGTGAAAAAACCTATTTCGTAGAATGGTAAAGCTTTTTTTTTGATTTTCACATTTTCTAAAGAAAATCAGCAGGCGACCAGAAATTAATTTTGGCGAACAAAAGCCTGACGTTTCCGTCGAGGCGCAAATTTTATGCACGAATGAATACTGTATACGGAAAAGTTGAGCCAAAGAAGGGAAGAATTTACCTTTTGAAAATATTCTTTCATCTGAGGAAAGAACCAACGTGTTATTACTACACGTCAAAGCAAACAAGAAAAATGAGATCCAAAACATTTACGCTAACCAGTATACGTATATATACGCGCAGGGTTCCCTCTAGATTATATTTTGAGTCCGTCTTATGAATAAAAATAGCACCAAGAATCTTCAGTTCCCCCCCTGCGCTGGATTGCTTTTAAACAAAAGCAATACTTGGACCATATGGGGTCTGAGGGAAAGTATACAACATGGACTGCACATATCTTAGAAGGAGTCGAGAGGGATATAAGGTGGTTGTTGGTGTCTTTTGACGACTGCCATGTTCATCCGGCGTGACAGTGCTTGTGGGCTTCGCGCAGACGACGAGACACGTGCAGCTATGCCATCTGCCGGTGTAGCAGCACAAACCATTTATTTCATGAACTATTGTGTGGATGGATCTCGGACAAATCGAGACAGGGCAAATTTGAGACAGAAATCCTGTCTCGAATGGTCCCTCTTGTAGAGAGAGAAACACTTTGAGGCAGAAAATTTTGGCTACAGGGACAATTTGAGACAGAACCCTGTCTCAAATTGAAACTTTTGGAGACAGGGATAATTTGTGACAGAAACCCTGCCTGGCCCTGAGACAGGGCCAATTTGAGACAGGGCCAATTTGAGAAAGGGCCAATTTGAGACAGGGACATTTTGAGACAGGGACATTTTGAGACAGGGACATTTTGAGACAGGGACATTTTGAGACAGGGACATTTTGGAGACAAGGACAATTTGAGACAGAGCCCTGTCTCAAATTGAAACTTTTGGAGAAGGGGATAATTTGAGACAGAAACCCTGTCTCAAATTGTACCTGTCTCAAATTGTACCTGTCTCAAATTGTACCTGTCTCAAATTGTACCTGTCTCAAATGGTCCCTGTCTCAAATTGTCCCTGTCTCAAATTGTCCCTGTCTCAAATTTTACCTGTCTCAAATTTTACCTGTCTCAAATTGTCCCTGTCTCAAATTGTCTCTGTCTCAAATTGATACTGTCTCAAATTGGTCCTGCCTCAAATTTTCTGTCACGATTTTTCCAGTCTGCAATTGTCTGTCCAAGTTTTCCATATCCTGTCTGGCTACATTCCAGTATTAAACCCATTCAAGTCTTGATAAGGCCCAGCTATAAGTTGAATGATGGAATACAGCAATACAAATAGCAATAAGTAAAAAAAAATGTCAACATAAAATCCACACACATCACCTTAAGGTTTCAAACATTGGAAAATATTTTGTAACATTAATCAAGAATCAAGGCTCCAGCTCTGATGGATACGGAGATACAATACAGTATACAAAATTTGAACATTTTAAAATTTGTTTTTAGCCTTCACAGAGGCTTAAATAGTCTTTGTGTTCACATTTTTAATATGTCTGGAATATTTTTTAAAATTTCTAAAATGTCAACTTTTCTGTCTCTGAATTTCCCTCTGGGACCCACTGGAGGTTCAATGTAGCTAAGCTATACCACGTGGCAAATAACCCACAATGGTAACCTGACCACCAGTGTAGTTGACCAAGCCCTGCTACACCGTTTGGGCTTTCCTGTGAGGTTGGTAAGACTAACAGGAAGGCCGAAACGCAGCAGGAACAGCAACACCACGGTCTGCTGCTCAAGTGGGAATAACCCCGACTTGGGCTCGCGTCTGCTGTGGTTTTCACCTATTAACGACTCCACAAAACGAAAAAAAAGAAACAATTAAATTACGAAGGGAAAAAATAATGAGATTATTCATGGAAACGAAAATTCAACGTTTTCAGTTGGTCGAATTATTTTGTCGTTCGTTGTTCAATCTTCGGTACGAATTTCAATCTTAGAAGTTCACGGAAAATCATCGGATTACACAAAAACTACCAAAATCAACTTGCCATTAAAAAAAAAAAAAAATGAGGCACTGCGCGATGATGGTTTTTTATATTCAATTTTCCTGGTCAACGCACAGGTTCTCCATCAATTACGACTTTAAAAATAATAATACAAATTGGAAGAAATGAAGAGAAATGGAAGTTGAGCGTTTATCGGGCGTAATTTTTTCCTCTCGAGTATACGAGCTCTCTCTCATAATGGGATTCGAACGTTTGCCAAAGAGTCTGATTGCTTGAAAAAATCCAAATTGACTTGTGTTGTGATTGAGTAATAAAATTCAGAGATACGATGCTAAAGCGAAAGGCGATAAAAATTTGCAAATCGCGATGCTTTTTTCTTCAAATTTAGCCACCAGCGATCAGATTCGGTTACGAATTATCCATCGAAATGACGCATGATTTTATACCATTGGTGGCAATAAAATTACTCCGACCACTTATATAAAAAAATACCTATGTAGTCAGATTCTGAATAAATTATTATATTTATGGATTTCCTTTGTAAATCATTCATTATTTTCGCAATCTGTAAAATTTGAAAAAAAAGGTTTCTGTGAGAAAATTCTGTCCTTCAGATTTAAGTATCTGACTGAGCCCTTTGGAATCGCAGTGTCTCATAAAAATTTATATTCTTGATAAATTCTCTCAAATGAAGTTCGAACCCGATGGACCAAGACCCATTCACAACTTCGGAATCGTTCATGCACTGGTGAAATCCTTTCGTTCATATTCCATAATGTTTGGAATGCCTTGTTAAATAGTTCTTCCAGAATATCTTATGCCAATGAATTTTTGAAAAATTTTCCGAGAGCGTTACGTTAAATGTTTAAAATACCACGCGTGGTAAATTTCATAATTTTCTGCTTAAGTAAACCGGCTTAAGCCAGATCGATTCTAACTACAAAAAGTTACGATTAAGCTGAAATGAAGTTATAGTGGATGATTCAATATAAATTATCAAGGAGACCTCGATAAAGGCAATGTATGTGAACGATCAAAAATATGTTGTGTTGTTAAGAGAAAAAATAATCGGTTTTCAATTTCATTGGCAAGAAAACAGTGAGAAGAATAGTTAGGCATGAATATTTTATTTAAAATTCTGAGTCTTGCAGACTGCGAAATTTTGTTTTCTCCTGACTTGGCATTAAATAACGTCGGTTTGCGTTTAATCAGGCTTATAGTCAGAAAAAAAAGAAACTGGACTACGAAAACTTCTAGAATAAAAATGAATATCGAAAATCACGAACCTGAAGGATTTTCGTGACTTGGAAATTTTCCCGGCGATTTTACATCGGTCTCAAAAATATAGCTTCCCGCAGAATTTCAGACACAAAATCCTGGTTCCCGTCGAAACAAAGTCGCGTCGAAATCCTCGGGAGTATTTTCATTTCACTCGCTGAGAAAAACTGAGCTTTCCTGCCACGGATGAAAATACAATACAGTACCATTCTTTTCTTCCGTTGAAGAAGAATACAAACAAAACCAAGTCACAAAATAAAACAGGAGAAAAAATAATAATCTGAACACTTGACCTGCGTTTCCTATATCGGCGAAACATCGATCGCGAGTCTGTTCAGCGTCATGTTCCTTCCACACTACGTCGTCAGTACTCAACCGAGTCGAATTGCTTCAATACAAACAGGAAATAATAAAGAATATGATCAGCAGAAAAAAAAAGTGTTTAGATTTTTATCATGGCAAAAGAAAATACAAAAATATGGTTTCCAGAAAAGTCGCACAAAAAAATAAAGGAAAGCGTACCGCGAATGACATTAAAAAGGCGTCGCGTTTCCGCGCACATGACGTTGGACTGTCTGCCTTCACTCGCACGCATTTCTCCAG